GTATTTGTTCTGAAATAAAATTGTAAATCAATTTCTCGTTGAAGAAACCTTGCTGTGTTAATTATCTGCTATTATTATTATCATTATTCCTACGTAATTGTGTATTTACAGTGAATATTCGCGGATGCTTGGTGGATCCAAGTGACTTCCTCTGTACATAGAGTCCCCTCGTGAGCTGTGTGCTGAGATATTGCGGGCTACTCGATTGTGAGGAAGTTCCATGGATCTGGTTAGCGCTGCGCCTTCGTTCTCATGTCATTTTCACACATGTATTAATATAATTATAATTTAATTAAATATAAAAAATAACATATGACTAAATCAATGAATTTCCGTTGAAATAATGTTTAAAGGGGCTGTAGGTTTAATAATTCATACTGAGACAAATGAAGTATGTAGTGGGAGCTGGTGCTGTCCACTGTCCAGAAATTAAATAAAATACTGTCAAAACCTCGAATCGCCATAGTGAGAACCACTTCACTACATACTCGTCGTAGTATAAAACAAAGCCGCTTTCTCTGTCCCTATATCCCTATGTATGCTTAAATCTTTAAAACTACGCAACTGATTTTGATGCGGTTTTTTTAATAGATAGAATGATTAAAGAGGAAGGTTATTATGTATAATAATATCCATGAAATAGTTGAAAAATACTGTTATTTTTGTGGTTTCTAATGTGATGTAGTAAATAAAAAATAATGTACTAAGTATTATACACCTTGAAAAGGTCTACAGAAAACTCCGCGATGGTATATTATGTCTATCTGTTATGGATATCCCTGGGCGGGATGGGCGGCGGGACCTGCACTTTAAATTTAGTATCATTATTGCACCCGTGCGAAGCCGGGGCGGGTCGCTAGTCAAGCAAATCTATCACATAGGGTCATAGTCATCATTCATATAAGCAAATCATCATTATAAACTAGAATATTTAAATATTACTTTTTTTATTATATTTTCATACATGTTTGTGTACTTAGTTATTTTTTTAAGACAAGCGTAATTTGTTTTTACGTTGAAAAGTTCTTATCTTGAGTATACCAGACGCGTAACTCTATTGCCAATACGATTATTTTTTTCTGTGTGCCGTGTAATTAATAGATACCATACCATGTTCATCGGCCTGCCACAGAGCCAAAAAGTGACGGCATGCGTCAGGGGCAGAAGACTATTTGTCTATGATATACAAATCTCAATCACTTGTAATTTAATTCTTACCGGTGGTATGGGACATTGTATTCCGAACTTCTGTTTAATCATTACATACGGCGCTTCTATGAAGTCACAAAGCTTGAATCGAAGACCAACAAAAGCTGGCCTGTACTCGTTATTCATAAACTCTTCGTATTCATTGCTGACCTGAAAATAACCTTGTTTCACAATTTTGTCACTTACTACTTAATTGTTAAATAAATAGAAGTACGGACAGCTCTAGATAATTATAAAAAAACGGGGGCCTTGTTTGTTCTTTTCAGACCAGGATTCATTCTTCAACATGCCAGTTATTAGAGTGACTCCCAGTTATAGAAAGATATTAGAGTGACTCATGGTCATGTGTAATACCTTTTCAGAATCCCTATTAAATGTGCCAAAACTTGTAATACCGGGTCACTTTTCGGTAGAGTAATTTTTTTTCACAGTGGGGTCTGAAGTAAACAAAAAGTTATGATTTGAAATTTTTTTATATCGTATAACTTAATATTATCTTCAATTCACTCAATAAACAACTATAAATAGTATGTCTAACGCAAGAACTCATCAGTACCAATCTAGTGGATATTATGAAAAAGATACAGGTTGTAGATTTTTTCGAATCCCGTGGAACAATTTTTTGCAGCTGATCACCTCATCTATCCCCTATTTGCGTTTGATCCACGACTTTTTGACCAACCTGTATAATATAGTCGTGATATTTATTGATTTTTATGTTTGTAAGGTCCATACACACCGTAACGTTGTTATCAAATGTTACAAAGCTTTCTGTGTAAAAGTTTATTACACGTTTCCTTCTCGAGTAAGAGACTAAGTTCAAAGATGTATTCTTCAGATAGTTTTGATTAATTTCCAGCAGCTTTACCCGTTCTATTATCCATTCGCTTCCCTGTAAATTTAATAAGGATTTTTATTGAGTTTATAGCTATCGAAACTTGTTAAAAAGTGCCAATCGTCCCTTATTAATTCCCAAGGTTCAACCGACCTACAGTTGTTCCCTACTAATAAACTACTTATCCAGAGCTTAATATATTCGGTAGTGGGATGATCAATTTCAAAAATGCCATTGTTAAGTGATCGGATAATCCGCATTGCTAAGCAAAAAAAAAACTAGATAAATCTAAAATGGGAAGTGTAATAATAATTATTGTATTTTAAATTTTTTGTAACATTTATGTTTACTATGTATTGCCATGTAATAATAGATAGCTCGTAACATATACTGAAGATATAGCATTGTACTTACATTTACAGCAACGAATACAAATAGTAAAACAGTAGCATGGAGCCACTTGGACGTATTTAATTGGAACATTATACTTTGAAGTTGTGTTCTAGTCTAAGCTCAGAAGATTATGTGGCACTAGGGAACCTAAAATTATTAATATTTATTTGATATTACCTTTTTTAATAATTATGTGATGTTTATCATGGAATATATCATGTGTTATTTATTTCACTAGCGTTTGGCTGCAGGTTTTTATTCATATATCTTTTATTCATAAAAACATTTAATTTGTGTATCGAGCAGAGGCTGATTATCACTTGTAATTGATTTAATTTGTGTTAAAAAAACTGTATATATACGGAATTCAAAAAAACTAGCGTACTAATTCTTAATAAGACGGTAACATACTCGCCTCCAGGCACTGTCCATAGGCGGTGGGTATCGCTTAACATCGGGTGAGCTTGCTACGTTTGCATCATGTTCTATAATGAAGTATTTCCGAACAAATTCGACTTAGGTTCCTTCAAGAAAGAGCGTACCAATTCTTGAAAGGCCGGCAACGCACTCGCGAGCCTTCTGGCAATGTGAGTGTCCATGTGCGGCGGTATCACTTAACATCAGGTGAGCCGTTTGCCTCCTATTACATAAAAAACATATTACATAATTAATTATTAATTATTGCACTGTAATAATTAATTAAACTCACAAAAATTATTTTATATGTTAATAAAATGGCTATCTCCGGAACCTTGTTATTATAATAATTGCGAATATAAAATATAAATGATAATATTTATATATTTATATACGTATATGTAATTATTTCCACCAAATTAGATAACAATTCATAAATGCATTATGAATGTCATCTCATTACTTACACATCATTTACTAGTTTTATTTATTTAAGCAACTGCTGTGGTTTAGTCAGCGACCACGGATAAACGGATCGGCGTTTTAATCTGCTATTTCTACGAATTAATCATTTGTTTTAATAACTGACACCTTTGTGTAAGTTAAAGTTTTTTTTTAATAATTGTAAGTTGACATTTGAATTTGATTTATTCATTTATAAGTTCTAAACAACGTGTGTGCATAAAATTATATCAGAAAATATGATATCATAAATTTTACACACTTATACATCAATTATACTAGAACATAATCAAGGGAAAAAATTAAACAAAGCACCCAAAAAATAAATAGAAACTTAAACTTCATTAAGAGCATGATAAACAAAGTTACGGTAAATTGGAAGGTTGTTGTAAAATATATCAATACTTTCATCAATGTTAGTAAGTTGTAAGAGCGAGCCTATTCACTGGAGCTTTAAAAGGAGCAGATAAGCGAGCCGTAGCTTACGTATAGAAGACTTTTTGGTCTAGTAACTCTAGGATAAAAAAGAAAGGAAAATTTAGCAAGAAGGTTAGAATAAGTATTAAAGTTAAATATTTTATACAAATTAACTAGATCGATGAAGTCACGACCACGCAAGTTTAGACGATTGCAAAGCTTTCTAAGGAAACGTTTTAGAACTTTGCAGCTTTTAGGTTAGCAGGAGAAGTCCTTGGTAACCTAGTCAAAGTCATTTATTCATATAGGTAACACAAAGTACAGTAATGAACGTCAAAAAAGAAATATATATTAAATGCTTCTAATTTTAAATTTACTGCCAGTTCTCAAATCAAGGGCGTAGAACGGAAGAGATGAACTGGCAAAAAACTCTCCGCTACTCTTTTTAATCGCCAAGATTTTTTGTTTTACACAATTTTTGTAAGGAGCTGCATGCCATGTTCCACATGACATCTTAAGTAATCAATAGTTAATTAATCATAATAAAATAAATTAAAACAATGCTTTGTCCTCTATCAGCAGGAGGCATGGTGAAACAGGAGCACGCACTTACATTCTCGTAGGAACAACACGCAAATACATAGTCGAAATAACTAACATCACCGCATACACGAATTCAAGTATTGTCTCTAATTATTTATTTATTTATTAACATAAATACTTACATTATCCTTACAGTACTAAGCCAATACGATAATGTTGAAAAATATATATTAATAAAGTGTAATATTAAATACATAATATGCATAAATATCGCTACAGTGAACTCACTCTGCGAACATATAAAGATGACGATAGTGTCGGAGACCGCATTCAGTAAGCACAAATAATAGTTATACTTTGGGCCGTGGGGTTTAAGTGCACAGGCGCTAATTAATTATATAAGTTGGCGCCCCGTAGATACCGGTGTTTTCCTCTCTCAATCAATAAGTATCGCAATACAGGAAATTCTGCCAGCGTTACAGGTACTCTGCCACAGGGACCAACTTTTTAATTTTGTATTTATTAATTTTAATTATTTTAATTATTTCTTATGTAGGTTAAGAAAATTGTTATATTTAGGTTTTAATGAACTATTAAATCTTTAAATCTTTGTGGAAACTTTTTGTCCATTTATGAATTAAGATTAGGTTTCGCAGAAATGATTGTAAAAATGTCTGAATATATTTTTTATTATTAGTACGAACTATTGTACAAATAAACAATGTCAATGTTTCAGTTTTTTTGTAAAAGACGCGTATAAATATCCAGAGGCAATTGCAATTTTAGGACTTGCTTCGTATGCTCGAATATGTATCCTTCCTTGACGAATGGGAAATGCTTCTGGTAATGTTTCGGTATATATTGTAATATTAGGTATAGTATACTCCATCTGAAAAAAATATGATTTGAATTAAGAGAGATTAATTATATATATTTTGCGCATTTTGTTTTTGGTATGAAGTTTCTCTCGATTTCCAATTGCTTACAAACATTTTAAAAATACTTATTAAAAAAAATCTGTGGCGAGTTATGTAACCTAACATTAATTAAGTTACATATACAGAATGGTCAAAAAGTCGTGGATCAAACGAATTTTTTTTTTTTTTTTTTTTAAATTTTTAATTTCTATTTAATTTTTTTTTGAGAAACTTATGCTTACATTAATTGTCACACATTTTAGATGTAAGATTTTGTAAATAATTAGTAGATATAGGACTGTATGTGATGTCGTTAACTTAAAAACTAAATAAATAAATAAAAAAGGGGATAGATCAGGTCATCAGATGCATACAATTCTACGGGAGGTTAGGTATATGAATACAAAGTTTTAATTTTTATTTTTGTATTATAAAATCAGTTTCGCACTCATGCATTTCATCACAATTCATCTTTTTAATACTGTTTTCTTTTATTATTACTTGATCGCTTAATAGCATAGTCCGTTGCATCATTTGTTTATTTTAAGCTTGTATGTGCAAATAATCTAGAGTACGTGTTATGTAGAAATTATTGTCAAGTACAGTTAACATGTCAAGAGGAAGAGACTGCTGATACAGGGAATCCTAGTGTGTGGGCTAGTGCTCTTATTTTTTAACTAAATATCCTCTTTATTGTGTATATTCACCATGCCTTCTGCTGATAGAGGACAAATCTTTGTTTTTAATTTATGTTATTATTATTAATTACTTAAAATATCACATGGAACATGGTGTAATGGTTGCAGCTCCTTACAAACATTTTGTAAAACAAAAAAATGGCGATCAAAAAGAGTGGCGGAGAGTTTATTGCCAGTTCTTCTCTCCCGTTCTACGCCCTTGATTTGAGAACTGGCAGTAAATGTAAAATTAGAAGAATTAATATGTATTTCTTTACTGACAAATATAAGTGTACATTATGTTACCTATGAGATTAAATGATTTTTTTAAATTAAAGTTTTCTTTCATTCTTTAGATTAGCTAAATCTACTTGATTTCTCTCCTTCCTCATTAAACTTACCGGTGTCGTAGGACATGGGATCCCATATCTTTCCTTCAAGAGCATAAATGGTGACTCTAACAGGTCACACCACTTGAAATCGAAATGTATAAAGGTTGGTCTGTATTCATTATGTAGATACTCTTCGAATGTAATCGTTACCTATAGTACAATATTAATAAATAATAATCGCCATTGACAAACAAATTTCTTATAGACATAAATACTATTTTGACGGCTGACTATCCAATTAACCATTTTATACGTTTGTGCCTATAGTTTAATGGTCCTGTTAACAGATTGTGTCGGATTTACAATAAAACTTTGACGAAAAATGACTCGGTGGATATTTTCAGCAACTCCATGGAGACTTTTCGTCATATCATTTTAGAAACCTTGATGTGTTCATTCACTTGTTATATTCTTTAAATCTACATAATTATGTGTTAACAGTGTATATTCGCGGATGCTTGGCGGACCCATACGACTTCTTCAGTACAAAGAGTCCCCTCGTGAGCTGTGTGCTGAGATATTGCGGGCTACTCGATTGTGAGGAAGTTGCATGGATCTGGTAAGCGCTGTGCCTTCTTAATTTCTCATGGTATATTCACATGTATATCTTTTCTATAACATACTAGCTGACCCGGCATACGTTGTTTTGCCATATATAATATTATTTCTAGGAAACATTTTTTAGTTCAATAAAAATAACTATCTACTAAAATAAAATAGGGGTTAATCGTAGAGGGGTGAAAATTAAGGGTTGTTTGGATTTTTGTATGTTGTATCATAAAAAAAAATAACAAATTTTATCAAAAAAATATAAAAAAATTTTTTGGGCCCACCCCTTATCACTTAGGGGTTTGAAAAATAGATAGTAGCCGATTCTCAGACTTACTGAATATGCATAAAAAATTTCATAAGAATCGGTCGAGCCGTTTCGGAGGAGTATGGGAACGAACATTGTAACACGAGAATTTTATATATATAGAGAAGATATTCATAAGTATATGTTTGCCCTCGTAACATGTGTGATGTTTGAGAGCAAAAATAAAATAAAATAATGACAGGTTTTCCTACCATCATATTTTTTCTCAAGGGCTTCACAAGTGCAGCATATGCGTTGAGATATCTTTTACCGGTTCGCGAATATTTCCTTACAGTGAATTTCAGTTCTTTAAAGAAGGACGCATTGACAACGTCAAGTTCACATCTTTCCATATTAACCTCCAGCACCTTAAATTTTCAAAAAGCTATAAATAATTCGCTTATGAATATTATTTTTGTATTTATGGCCCTGTTTGCAAAGACATCTTCGCTACAATGAAGAACTTCATAACATCCTTGACGACGACAACATCGTCCAATTCATAAAACGCAACAGGCTTAAGTATTTGTGTGTACCGAATGGCGGACGACCGAACCCCAAGGTAAACTTAAAACCCGGTAGACCGATGCGTTGGTGGGATGGAGTTTCGAGGACCTCGAAACAATAGGATTTCGAAGTTGGACGCAAGCGACACGAAATAGATTTAAAGAAAAACGCTTTTTACCGGATTAAAGTTATGTTTATTATTATAAATTTACAACTATTTGACATAATTTTAAATTTATCCGACGTTTCGCGTGCTTTACAGCGTGCGTGGTCACGGTGAAAATTATGTCAAATAGTTGTAAATTTATAATAATAAACATAACTTTAATCCGGTAAAAAGCGTTTTTCTTTAAATGTGTAAAGGTTATGTTAATCAAAGACAATACTACGAAATAGATTGCTATGGAAAATATACTTGTGGAGGCTAAGGCCCACAAGGGGCTGTATATCCATGGACCATATTGATAATTATGTATATTAATCAAGTTAAATAATATTTATGTAGGAGTGTCACACTTCCATTTATGCAAAGTTGACTTGGTTGACAAATTTCTCAAGTTACTTAGCAAAACCATACAATTTCATAAAATCATAATATTATGCTGTCAGAAAAGATCAATTTATCGCCATGCTGCTTTTACATTCGAATATGTCTTGCCTTCTTAAAAAGGACACACATTATAACATAATTAATACTAGATAACAAATATCTAACATCCGTTAATTGAAAAATATAGTACAAATAAACATACCTACATGATAAAAATGACAAAAAAATCGTACAGAAAAGTCCACAGATTATTCCCAAGAAATGTTATTAAAGAGGAAGACAGCAAGAGATGGGCAGACGACATAAAAAGAGAATAGGAGGCACAACTTGGATAAGAAGAGCTACCAATAGAAAAAAAATAATAGAACCAGCTGGAAGAGGCCTCACAGTACTCACGCTGATCACCAAAACCGACATATCTGATGAATTAGGTAATATTATAAATATGTATTTGTATATACAATTAAGTATACAGTATTTACAATTTTCTTAACCTACCTAATTCAAATAATTAAAAATAAAATCAACAAATTTGAAAAGATCCCTGTGGCAGTGTACCTTTAACGCTGGCAGCAGTTTCTCGCTGTATTGCTATACTTATTCGTTGAGCCAGGAAAGTTGGCGAAAGGTAGATAGTACCGGTGACGACAGAGCTGGTGCTTCTTTTTTATAATGCTGCCGGCGTTAAAGGTATGCCATAAGGACCAAAAATTTAAAATTTGTTTTAATTTTGTATTACTTAGTTAGACCAGGGTAGAAGCATTTAAAAAAAAAGGAAAAAAATATAGTAGGGTGAAACTGATATGATAGATGATATTTTGACAGGTGAATTTTCGATTGAAAATTAGGGTGCTTTTTCGACTTTAATTCATAATAAGGTGAAAAATAAATATTTCAAATCAAATAAATTACAGAGTATTAAGGACATAAAAAGGTAAGTTTTCACCAAATTTCGTGCGAAAAAAATAAATTTTGTAAAAGATAAAAATAAAAAACTTGGTCTTTTGAATTTTTCAGATAAATTTTGAGATTATGGGAAAAAAGTGTAAAAAAATCGAGAAAAAACGTTTAAATACCCTTAAAAACTCACCCCTTCCCCTTCGCGACCTCAGATCGCCCGTAAATTATTTTTCCTTTCATTTTTATATTATTTCCATTCCTTTTCCAATGGTTTTCATCCTACTATTATTTTTTTTGGTTTCAAAAATTATCGACCCTGGTCCGAGATTTTAATTATTATTATTACTATGTAGGTTAAGAATATTTTAAATACCCCAACTAAATATTTAAATAAACAAACACAAACAAACAAAAAAACAGTAAACATTACAATAAACATTTTCTAATGGATACAGGGTCTCAATGTATTTATTGAAATAATAAAATACTTACACATAGATGTTCGACAACAAATAGCGTTAATATACCAAAAGTATTAATACGTAGAAATAGCATTTTAAACGACGTACGTATGGGTCTGTGGTCGCTGACACAATACCATCATTATTTTAGATTCATGACCAAAAACATATTATTATTGACAATATGGTAATGAAGTTTCATAATGGATTTATGAATATGTACTTAATTCGATAGTAATAAGCTCTTCCTATGTCGGGGACAAACCGGCAGGAGGCTCACCTGATCTTCAGTGACTAGAGAATGCAATCTCGAGGCGAGATCGTTCATTCGAGATCGATTAAGAATTACAATCTCGCGAGATCTCGATATTTTCAAGATCTCGAGTATTTTTCGAAAACCAATTGTGTAATCGAACAAAACAAAATAATAACACGATGTAAACTGCAAAGATGTTTTTATTAGGCTAATTAAGATACGACATTATTTTGAAGAAAAATATTTAGTGTAACTGTTTCTATTATTGATTAACAAATTTTTTATAATAAATCGCGAAACATATTCATTACTTATTTTAATACAAGCCTTAGCAATGGTGAATAAAGAGTTATTTCCAGAATTACTTCTATCTACCTATCTTAGATATATAAGAGTGATTTTGGAAAAACATTTTTAAGAAGCAAAGATTATCTTATATCAATCACTGTGTACCTAGTAGCTGAAAATACCCTCACCGAATGAATACTGGTTGGCACCAGCGTGAGTAAGCTATTATAAGCAAACTGTAAAAAGCTACCCCTTGCTCCCCCAAACTCTTATAGATTATGTTTTTTTACGAATGGTTCTAATCTATCTTCACACAGAATCACGTGAAGAACTTTTAGCTGCTCTCAGAGTAACTTCTAATTCTTCTTATTAGTAGTAGTTTTGTTTTTTATAGCAGCAGCATGTGAATTCAAATCCTTTGCAACCCCCCCCCCCCCCCCCCCCCCCCCCCCCCCCCCCCCCCCCCCCCCCCCCCCCCCCCCCACCCCCCCCCCCCCCCCTAATTGAATTATTAAATTTTGTTGTTATTCAGTTACTGGGGTACATTCGAAAACAACAAAAGGGGAAAAATTTAAAGAAATTTTTAAAATTTTTTTTTTATTTGTCGAGACGCGCAATTAATTCATCTTAGTTTTCTGTTGCTATGTTAATCTCATTACCAGCAGTGGAGGCGTTTAAAAGGGTATCTGACGACATAATCATTTGATTATATTTTTTATTTCTTTCCGTAACATATTCTAGGCAAATGGACATTTCGTCGCCTTACAACTGTTCCAAGTGATCTTTATAATTTCAGAGCTTTTCAAATATAACAACGCTGCGGTTGCATTTATTCGACGCCCAGAGATACTCTTGTTTCTTCGAAGAGATTAACTTTTCTGATACTACTTCCAATCTCCTCAATCCTTCATCTCATCATGTTACGCTTCGGGATTGATCTCGGAAAATGGTACGGAATCGGGATTGCATTCCCTAGTGACAGCTCAGACCCAACAACAAGCGGGATTGATATTGTAACCGCAATTATTTCACTAAAAAGATTTTCGAGAAATCTACTATATACGTGAATAGAGTATTTAATTGCAAACTCTTTTTCTTTTTTGACGCTGTAATTAATTAGTATAAGTCTAACTTTAGCTTTGAGTTTTTGGCAAATAATTTCTGTAGTGCGCGGTGTCTAGACGGATCACTGTAATAACACAACTAACTAGAACTAGCTGTCGAAACAAAAAAATAAACGATAATCAATACCTACACGAAATTTTAATTAAAATAAAAGAAAAAGTCAATATTTTGAATACAGGTATATTAATATCAATTTTTTTGCTGGCAAATGCGGCCACGGCGACTAATCTCTGTTGAGACTGGCCACTTATGCAGATATATTATAGTAGATATGGGATCTATCTGCATCTTCTACCGCATTTACCATGGAGAGTGTTCAAAGGAGTTGTTCGGATGCCTGCAGCTGAGTTTCATCATAGGACGTTATGGCAGAATACAACATACCATCCCTATCACCTCGACGTCCGTTGTTCCACATTTGGCATTTTTTTAAAACAGAACAAATTTTATAATATTCTTCCCCGACGGTTCAAATCTTCAGAAAAAAACACGTGGGGGGTTTTTCTCTCCCCAAAAAAACCCCAAAAATTTTCTCCCCCCCCCCCCTTTTTAAAAAAAAAAAAAACCCCCCCCCCCCCCCCCCCCCTTCCCCAAAAATTTTTTTTTTTTCTCCCAAGCGTTTCATAAGGTAGTTTTTGCCGCGCATCACCATTCGGAACCTGCCCACCAAAATTATTTCTGAACCAATTCGACCTACCATAGGTTACCTTTTTAGTTACTACTTTTTTTTTTTTTTTTTTTTTTTGTTTTTTTAAATTAAGGCCGTACTTTAAGTATTCTTAAAGGCCTGGCAATACGCACATTGAAAATTTAGGGCCCGCACACAGAACCCTTTCCCCCCCCCCCCCCCACACGTGCCTTCTGGCAAAATGAGTGTCCATGGGCGTCGGTCTACATAATACTTACAAGTAGCGGCAAGACTATTTTTTTTCCCCCCCGTAAAAAGAAACTCTAGCGCTGATACCGTTATTGCGCAGAAGTAAAAAATAAGTGTACCTGACCAGGGGGCTAGTAAGGTATTTAAGTGGGAATTAGAAGAGTTTCGATTGGCTCTCCAGTCGCATTCCGTCCCCCATTTTATTTTTTTTTTCCTTATTTTTTTTTTTTTTTTTTTTTTTTTTTTTTTGCGCGACAGTACACGATGCGCAGCAATCCCCTCCACGTATCGGCCAGCGACTATAGACTTACGTGCCCTTCGCCCTTTTCCTTTTTTTTTTTTTGCTTTTAGTTTTTGCATAGCCTATAACATCAGGTGAGCCTCCTGCCCGTATGCTCCGTTATTCAAAAAAATACGCGAGCACGGCACAGTTGATACACCAACGGCCGCACTTACGGCTCATTCAAGTGTTTACTAGAAAATACGAGTATGCTATGAATAGTTATATACATATATATTTAATACAACACGTACAAAGTTTTTCTTGTAAATATTAATCATTGATACACAATTATTTTTTTAATAAAATAAATAAAAAATGTTAGTCCCCATCCGATTCATTCTTTGTTTTTAATTTATTTTATTATTATTTTTTTAATTCACCAATTGACCTAGATCATGCTGACTGGTGGTTGTGTTATGGGTTGGGCAACGTCCCCCTTTTTTTTTCCCCCCCCCCCCCTCCCTTTCCCCCCCCCCCCCCCCCCCCCCCCCCCCCCCCCCCCCCCCCCTTTTTTTTTCCCCCCCCCGGCCCCCCCCCCCCCCCCCCCTTTCCCCCCCATGCGAAATTACTAATTACTTAAGATGTCATGTGGAACATGGTGTAATGATTGCAGCTCCTTACAAACATTGTTTGTAATTTGGCGATTAAAGAGTGGCGGAAAGTTTATTTCCAGTTCTTCTCTTCCGTTCTACGCCCTTGATTTGAGAACTGGCAGTAAATGTAAAATTAGAAACATTTCATATATATTTATTTTTTGACATTCATAAGTGTACTTTTTGTTACCTATAAATGATTTTGAATTCAAAACCCAGACCTCAAAATCCGCTAATATATCCTATCAGACCAATACAGAAGGTACGATTTGTAATATTTGATATTTACCGGAAGCACATTCAACTAATGGCTATAAATTACGATGTACTCTTTTTTTAAATCGTCAAATTCAAACCATCATCATTAAAATTTAATTTCCGCTCTACGCAAGGTTCAAATTTATATCAAGGGAATTTCATATTCTGAAAATCACATTGTAGTCAACGGAAGGAAGTAATAAGTAAACTTGCAGAATTATTATTGTACGAGCCAAGGCTGTACATTTTGCTTACTCAGGCTTTCTTAGATTTATAAGCGTGGCAATTTCCTAAATCGTCGGAGTTACGCCCCGTAAGTATAGCCAGACGCAGGCATTCTCTTCAACTGTTACTTTGCACTTATTCGTTTCATAGCAATTAACTAAAACATGGGAGTTGCGCCTCGAGAGTATAGCAAGACGTAGGCACTCTCTTCAACTGATACATAGCAATTAACATTTCATTTTTTGGCTTATATTCTATTGTTGTACGCGTGTGGTTAATATACAATCCTTTATTATTTAAAGCACCCAGATGATCCAGGAACCGTACATTTTATTAATTGCTATGCAACTCATGAATGCAATGTAACCGTTGAAGACAGTGCGTACGTCTGGCTATACTCTCGGGGCGTAACTACGACGATATAGGAAATCGCCACGCTTATAAACCTTAGAAATGAGTGGGCAAAATGTACAGTCTTGGTTATGAAATATGAAGTTTGAAATAATTAAAATATTTTAGTCAAAGGTTATATCGAATATATTTTTAGTTTTACATATAATAAGTATGGACAAAGGATGAAAAATAAAACGCCGAATAAAATAATTATTATATTGTACAAAAATGGCAATTTCATTGCATCAAAATATAATTTACTGATATTTTATAGGAATGTTATTTAAGATTACAGTTAATAATAAAACTATAATCACAGCCCCATATCATAAACAATAGACGATGGCGTGTCTTACTGTATATTATTATTAGTCTGTTTTGACTTAATTTTTAAATTACTGAGTAAGTTACCGATCTCTATGAAATATTGTCAGTAATCAAAACAGACTATTTTCTCTGAAAAATTGTTCTTGAGAATAAAATACTAAACAATACATCACAGCATCTATATTCTTGCAAAAAATTGATTAAATTGCCTCCACCCAAAGGTATTAATTAATAAATAGCATATTGAACTTCATTTAGGTATTCATATTGAATTTGCTATCAATGATATGACATTTCCCAATTCCTATATACTTTAATCACTTAACCTTATAAATAAAACTATAAAACAGGAACAATCAAAAATTCCGTAGCATATTATATAAATACTTTTCGCAAAAAAATTTAAACTAAATGCAGTATTAAACGATAAAAAATATAATCCATAACAATTAACTCACATAAACTGTAGGTTCGCGCGCTAAATTGTAAGGCTTTCGATAAGATAAAACTGTTCGCATACATAAATAATATTACAGTCAAAACCGTTTACGACGACATCGTTTAGAACAACATACCGGTTATATTGACTATACAGTTACTATACATATAAACATTCATTATTCTATTTATTTCTCATTTGATGGCTGTGTTAGTCTACTTTCTTGGCTTTAGGTTTCCTCTCCTTTCCTTTAGGCTTCGATGGATAAATCGCAAAGAGAGCCAATTGAGCAGAACACAGCATGACAGCTACTACATTTTGGAGCTGAAAAAATGGTTATCGTAATAATGACTGTATGGTTCCTTTTTGCTTCTAGACTGAAGAAGTCGGGGAAACGAAAATCCTACCTATGACACTTTTGACAAATGCGATTAGGCTACTATTCCAAAAGACCAACAAACGCACACACTAAAACGTGTCTCATGGTGTGCGTGGGCTGCAGGACTCTTTGTGGCTCGTTACATCTCCTTATAATAAATATGTAAATCATTAAACAGAAAACTGTAGGAGTTATTTATATCCATTAAACCACGCCTTTATATAAATTACAATAAATACGAAAATTTAAAACTGAATTAAATGATTAAATCCTTCGTTTTCGAAGCATTTTTGATAAGTTGGGTTCGAGTTTGTACATTACAAAATACTTTCACATTTACTTTTATAACCATGGATTCGAAGATCGTAAAATAATTTTCTTATTCAAAAAGACTTAAAAACAACTGAGGTGGTGTTTTGGGTGCTGGAACGGATTAATGGCATTTCAATTAACTTAAATGGGGAAAATTTAAGGGGTTTAACGCATTAAACTCGTGTTTACCATTGTACATTGAAAAAACCGTAGTGCAAGATCCAGCTACATATAACACAGTATTGTGTATTATTAACATAACATTTACACATTTAAAGAAAACACTTTTTTACCGGATTGAAGTTATGTATTATTATAAACTTACAGTCAAAACCGTTTATAACGACATCGTTTGCAACGACCTATCGGTTATTACAACCAGATTGTTTGGTCCTGTCCGAATCCCTAGTAAACTATTCAGTAAACAAACCGCTTATAACAACATCGGATACAGCGACATATCGCTTACAACGACGAAATTTTATCGATATTCATCGGCTATAACGACCAACCGCTTCTTGTCTCAGCAAAACAAAACAATACAAACGAATTTAAATCTTATTTATAAGCATTGAATAAATATTTAGGCATATTATTACCTACGCACTTTCTCCCGCCTCATCCGAACCTCTTCCCGGCCATTTGACCTTGCATACTTTACACATGTTTAGTTCGCTAATTGACTGCGTGAGTAACAGTTTGATTTAAAAGTGTTGGTGTTGTTTAGACTGTGCAATTGTGCATTTATGTGTTATCATGTCGCACAAAAAGAGAAAAGTGTTTTCTATTGAATAAAAATCTCATGTCATATAGATAAAATGCAAAAAATATTTAAGACTGGGGTTAAAAAAAAACAGACCAAAATGACTGACTACTTTTGTACCTAATTATTTCGCAATAAATATTTTTGTTTCTTTTTTGACTCCTTTACATATTAGAATATAAACATACCATATTATAACCCATACCTACCTATTCTAGATAGATAACTATGATAATATAACTATGTACATACATATTTACCTACTATACTTGTGTATAATATATGACATTGCTTATAACGACTATCGGATATAACGTCGGCAACTATGCGGTCCCTTCAATGTCGTTATAAACGGTTTTGACTGTACATATTTGTTTTTTTTTGTTTTTATAATAATAAATAATTTTTATAATATTATACACCAATTGTTGAGTTGATATCGACTCCATATTTTAGTCGATAGCAACTCCGAGGAAATAAATACAGATAATACAACTTTTTCTACAGCTGTGATACTTTTTGACATTCAACACCTTTTGTCTTCAGTCACCGTGACCACGCACGCATTAATTATATAAGTTTATAATAATACATAGCTTCAATCCGTTAAAAAAGTGTTTTCTCTAAATGTATAACACATATTAAATTGAACATGAAAAACTCACCACAAGGAACGAATTGTTCAGTATAATTCCATAGAGGAGCCATGTGAAGGTGACCACGCTACCAGACATGATAATCGGGAAGGGCATACCTTCTGTGCTCTTGTTTTTAATTATGGTTTTCTGAAAAACAAAACAATATGACCTAACTCCCAATAAAACTTGTAAAAGACTACGAAACAGTAATCTAAGCACTTCTTTCATCCGAAACAATTATTGTATATAGCAACGACGATTATACACAGGTCTCTTGCAGGTCAACTTGCAGATTTTAAAAATTTAGAACAACTTAAAATGCCTTGGAAAAGTGAACATGTCCAAAGACTCGATCATATCAGCGAAAATACTGAGAGAAACAGACAAAAGCGTACAGAAAGACAATTGATCGGATTTCGTTTAATTAACTTAAGTCTTCTGTACGTGTATTTGTAATTAAACTTCTAAACGACTCCTAAACTTTTGTGTGTGTTCAAGTGGAAATGCCACTTGGCAAATGGCATGCCTATAAACCGCACCTTATCTTTTTCTTTTTTGCGTTTCTTCTCAGAGTAGTCAGATAGGAAACGTCGATCTCATCTAGTTTAAAAAAAAGATATGTTTGACGTGTAAAAGTATTTGTAAAAACCTACTTACATAAATAAATCATTTATCAGTGTAAATGCTAAATGATTTTTATTATAACGGGTAATTTAAATGTAATGATTCTTAATATATATAAACTCCTAAACAGCTGAACCGATTCTGACGTAATGTTTTGGTGTGTTCAAGTGGATTCGAGAATGGCTTAGATTCACAATGAGATTATTTGTGTGTACTGAACAACGTCTGTCGGGCCCGCTAGTATTTTATATGTCACAGTAAAGTAGTTAAATCAGAGTGTTAATTGAATCTCTAGAGAGTTAATTAAAGATCGATATTCAATCAAGTCGCTCGTTTTGATTTAAATAAAACAGCGTCGAAAACGTTTAACTATCTGTCTGACCGAAAGCCAGCGTGTTGATTAATTCCTGATTAAATATCGATAATTAATTAAATGTCTAGAGAGTCAATTAACTCTCTGATTTAACTACTTTATTGCGACATATACACCATTAAGACAATCTAAAGGTTAGATTCATACACGACAATTACAACTCCGGTATGTCATCGCTTCTGAGATAGACTCACCAAATTAAACAACGGGGAAGCAATCAAATAGAACATGAACGCTGTTATAATAGTTCCAAAACGTGTTTCAATAAGTTTCGGATCTTCGTACTCGGAGTAGCCGATGAGAGCTGCCGAGATGGCGCCACCGGCACCAATTTGGGCCCAAACGAGACCCTTCTGGGCCGAGTAGTTGAAATAAATCATGAGGTAGACAATGTTTATGGCACAACCCACAAAATTCACTTGAATCATTGTATCGTCGCGGAGAATGAAGCCGTATTTTAAATTTAACACGCTCCTGTAGAAAAATATCGGTTATCAGCTTTTCTAACTTATAAAGGTCTCGGGGGTTAGAACGCACTGTTAATAAATCAATATTTTTTTTAACACCTACCGAATTTTAAATTACCTACTATACCTATATATGTAATACGAATATATAAGCACAATATATATAGTACTCTCATCCCTGAGGTCGTAGGTTCGATCTCGGCCGTGCACCAATGGAATTTCATTCTACTGGTGAAGGAAAACATCGTGGGGAAACCGATTTGCCTTAGACCCAAAAAGTTAACGGCGTGTCACCAGGAGGCCGATCACCAACTTGCCTAATAGTCATAGATTGACAAATGATCATGAAACAGATAAAGAAATCTGAGGCCCAGACCTAAAAAGGTTGTAGCGCCACTGGTTTATTTTATTTTTATTTATTTATATGTGCAACTTATCAGTTGTTTTGCTTAATCACTAGACTATTTAACTATTTACACTAGATACATAACAATAATGATATATTTGTATATATTATGTACTTAGTATCCTAGTAATAATAGCAGTCCATCTTTTCTTTTTCCTAAAAGAAAAAGGATTTTACTTTTACGACTTTGTACCCCGGGGCAAGCGATATATTAAATTGTACAGTGAGACTAATAGCAAATTTTGAATTTGTTTTAACGATAGGTTTCGGACTATTTTTATATTTTAACGGAATTTAAAATTTTTATTTCACTAGTTTCGTAATATCACTTAATATATGAAGTATTTTTGTAACTATACTTACATAACTAAACCACCAATAAATGGCATGATACCAACTCCTTTGGTGCCCTTCTGCTTATAAATGTCATAGCAGAGAAATGAACCTGAGAACATTTGTCCAATAGTGACTACAGCAGCCACTGTGCCGACAATAGCCTTGTACGGCTGCAAAATATTAGACAGTGCTTCCATTTTTGAATTCTGAAACAAAATGGTATTTAATTAAATTTTTTTGCTGGCTAATGCACAAACCGTGCCAGAGCCATAAAGGAAAAAAAAATTTAAAATAAGAATGGCTCAAGAGTATACCAATTTCTGCTATATTACGTATATTTTGTGTCTCTCTGTGGTACACGTAAGAAATCTCTTATCCTTTGAGATTCTAACTTTGAAATTTAAATTTAGAATTTGTTTTTTTTATCTATAGGCTGATTTAATAAAGCTTGTATCTCTCGGGTTTAATTACGAATGGTAAATTATTTGTAACGTATCCAATATTTTAATTATTATTTAAACTCTTACTGGTACACGTAAAATAATCGATAAGCAAATGAATTTTTATCATGTTTAACTGTCACGACTTTTCTAATCTATCATATTAACATTTAAAGTGGTTTTCCGAATACTTGTTCAGAGAATAATATTCATGTTACCCGCGTTAATGTGGTCGAAGCCTCCCTCGATAAATATAATATATTTAGTTTACATTATCTAACTGTAAAAAATCCTAATCAAAGACTAAAAATTTAATAGATGTTGGTCAAGTCGTTGGGAAGGAATGCGACCACAAACAATATTTATATCTTTATAGATAATAATTTCCCATGCAAAGTGGTATTCTATTAATTAAACCTCTATGCTCGAGATCTCGATTCCCTATGGCCTATGACGCAGATAAGTCTATTTATTTCAATTTGCTTCAATGAATGAGGATGTTTCTGTTATGATTACGTCTAAACTGTTTTGTTTATATGCCGTGCGCCCAATTTTATTTCTTTCGCTTGTATATTGGTTAAAGGAAAATGTAAATAGTTTTCCTTCCTTATTATTTATGGTTAGTTGATTATTATTGTAAATTTAAATTAAAGAAGAATTGATAAAATTCAACAAATAATCAATTGCCAATTTTCTTTTTAAGACAATCACATTTTTCATATCATTCACAGATGAAACAAAAATGTCTTCAAAAAGCATCTTAAAGCGTCTTATTTACATGGGTGAATAATTTAAATCAAATAAACTACAATAATATTATATTAAATCTTGGTTAATTTAATAAGGCATAATAGGGTTCCCATCAAAATAATATATTTTTTAAAGTTATCTCCAAGATAAAAGTATAGATAATTGCCTAAATACAGATTTTATTTACTATTTTTGTTAATTTTATATATTATGTAGTATATTGAGTAAATAATATGGAAACATGACAGTAGATAATATCAACTAAATATATTAAGTTGATAACTTAAACCTGATTAATTGCTGTAAAATAGTATTAAGAATAAAACAGTTTGGTTATGCAAGGTAAACAGTAATAATTCACTATTATAATTTAGTATCTTATACATAAAATGCTTTGATTTACAATTAATTTATGTCAATAATGTATATATAGGTATTGTATAGGTAATTGCAATACTATAACCCACATATAGTTACATAATAGTGCCATGTTTATAAATTAAATGTATTACAAGTTATAAAAAATATATTTAAATATTTTATAAAATATAAATAAAGAAGACAAAGTTAAGATGAGCTTATAGTATTCATATCATCTTGCTTCTACTTGACAGCAACATAACAATGTTTGTTAAGCGGGCCATAGACAAGAGACCACATGTTGCAGTCAAGACCGACTGCAATATGCGGTTTGCTCAGGAACTGCTCGAGCGGTCTGTGTAATGCGAATATGAATTTAGTATGGAAACTGCAGATTGCCGTGTGGCAACATGCAGTCCATCTATTGCCCGCTTTATGGCCACACTTCAAAACTTGTTTTTGAAAATACACCTTCAGCTAAATCTTAACTAAAGCAAAATCACAGATTCAATTAAGACAAAAGTAAAACTACTTACTAAAGTTTAAAGTAATCAGACAACTGCTAATAAGGAACATATTTTAAGTCAACATTTATTGTGTGTGTATGATATATTATTGAGTATCAAGTATCTCACAAAGTTGCTTAATTAATTAAATATTTTTCTGTCAATGCTCTTTAGACTCTAGTTGAAAGATTGCATTATCTTCTATATCTAATCATAATGTAATACTAAAATAGACAACTTACGACTTATTAAATAGAAAGTCTCACACTTATCATCAAATTACATTCAATTAATATCCTTATGTTTACACTAAAAGTTGTTAATTTAACCTATTTTTGTGGTATTAATGTTTGTTCAGTTGTTAAACTTATAATATTAAATTGGTGCATTTAGGTTAAAGTTTTACTTTAGTTTGACTATAGGCAAAGACACGATGTTTTATATTTATCATCTAGCATTATTTACCAATGATTAGATAATAATTAATATTAAGTAGTATTTAAAAAGGAATGTTGTGATAAAATTTATACTTACGGATTCAAAGCCAATATCACTAATATACAGTAAACACCTTTTTACGAAATAAAATGTATCAATGCAGAAACGAAAATACTATAAAAATAATATGTTTAGCTCCATTTGGCTATAGTTATAGTAAGAACTAAGAAGTAAGAACTATGAAGTGTATGGTATCAATGATGCCAACTCCTACAGAATGGTTTCCCTAGAAGCAGCTTCAAATATCGCGAAAACCCCCAAATTTTTTTTATTGTACACTCGGTTTGAAAGGTAATTTCAAATATTAATTAAAATACATTTAAGAGGTATAAAATGCGAAACAGTGATTTTACCTGCATACAGATGCAGGTGCATTTTATACATTTACATACCTTAATTAATGACCTAATAATAATAATGATTTATTTAGTTTTTTTTAATCCATTGTTATTGGCATATATTTTAGAGATTGTTGTACTTTTCTAATCCTTCAGCTAATATTTCGATACTGGGGTATTAATTTCAGCCACGCTTGAAGTTTATATTTGAATTATTTTGTTGGTTGGGTTCAAGGAATTCTATATGTATAAGTTTGTTTTTGAAAAAAAATACATTCCCGGACATCTTGATACCCCCTTAATTTGGCCGAAAATCCACGAGTTGGCATCACAGATCAACGAATGATGAAATATGATAAAGTACCTACACGTCATGTTGATTGACGTAATTCAAATTGTCTAACTTGCCCTCTAAGCAACCTTTCCTGGGGCTCTAGACAAAGATACTTGTGCGACGGAGGTGACTTACGAACGCGAATCGAATTTGAATGAAAATTGTCTATTTGCAATTGTGACAATCGTCAAACTCAAACTCAAAATATCTTTATTCAAGTGGGTAACCAAGTACACTTTTGAATCGTCAAGTTAAATTAATCGTAAATTTACATTTACTACCAGTTCGCAAGTCAAGGGCGTAGAGCGGGTAAGAAGAACTGGCAAGAAACTTTCCGCCACTCTTTTTAATCGCCAAGTATTGTCATACAAATTGTTTGAACTGGAGCAATTCAATCCCAAGGATTAGGATCATTTAAGTAGTCCTCAAATTTATAAAAAGCTTTGTTGATTAATTTTCGTTTAACGAGGGCTTTGAATTTATTTAGTGATAATACTCTAATTTCGCTTGGGAGTTTGTTGTAAAAACGAATACAATTTCCATATAAGGAGTGGTTTATCTTTTGGAGCCTGGTTGGTCTTACACTCAAATTAGTTCTATTTCACGTATTATACTGGTGAAAGTCACCATTTGTTTTAAAATCGTTTATATTATTTTGGACATACAACAAGGCTTCAAGAATATATTGACCAGATAGTGTCATAATATTTAATTCCTTAAACTTATTCCGTACCGACTCCCTCGGAGAAACACAACAAATACCCCGAACAGCCCGCTTCTGCAGCACAAATATGGATTGAACCTCTGCAGCAGCACCCCACAGTAGAATACCGTACGACATAACGCTGTGATTATGACGTGAGTTGGTAGGATGTTCACTCGATGTGGAGTTTTATATTTTGATCAAACATACACATTCTTATACGTAGTTGGTCCCAAAGTTCTGTCACTAGCACATTATTTCTATTTCAAGGATTTTAAAAAATTATTCATTTATTTTAATGTTTGATTATTGTTTTAAAAAAAAACAATAACTTTCCTAATTTTTCACATGGAGTGGAATTAAATAAACGAATAGTTGTTATTCGTTGCACCCTGTGGAACTCCAGTACCATTTTCAAGTTCTCAAAATTTAATATAACCTAGGTTTGTTACTACTATTATAGTACTGAAGTCTAGTTTGAGAAAGAAAAGAACTGGCTCCACCTCCCAAAAACCACAGTAATCAAACTATCAAGGCGCGGATAGTAAGAAATCCTGTCAAAAAGAAGTTGATGGATTTGCAGATGGGTGTCAGTAGGAAAACAGTAAAAAGGTTTTAAATGAAGATCTTGGTCTACGAGCATACAAAAAGAGTGGGCACTTACTTAATTCGTCTAAAAGCAATAAGGCTTAAGAGATCGCGGGTGTTGTTTAACGGTACCAAAAACCGAACCGTGATATCTCTTTAGGACGAAAAATTTTTCGATATTGAAGAGATACAATTAGAATTTAAGTTAGTAGAGTTCTGAAGAAGCTGAAAATAAAGTTCAAGGGTGCAACATGGAATCATCCATCATCAGTAATGGTTTGGTTGGGAGTGTCCATACCTAACGAGTTAATTTTTTTCGAAAAGGGGTCAAAACCATGTACAGTGTACCAAGAGACGGTTTTGTATCACTTGTCAAAGACATGTCAGCACTATTTGCGGGAATCACTTCGTGTTCAGCAGGACTCTGCTCTGATACAAAGCCAAGACATAAAGCTGGTTTGAGCGTCAAAACATGTCTTAATTAGACATGAGGATTGGCCTTTCAGTCGGACTTAATCCTGGACAGAATTATGAAAGGCTTAGAGAGGAAGGTCTGTGATAAACTCATGAAAATTTGGAGAATTAAGTCATCTTTAAAAACAGTGACTGAAATCGACACGAATATGGTGCGTTGCATAACGACTGGCCGCGACGCAGGGCTTTTAAAAATGAGGAGGTTATTTCGAATATTTTTATGCTTTTTTATTCCTTAATTAATGTACTAAGAATTGATATATCACTATTACAAACTGACAGTACTTTTGTTTTTATCATTATTTCCATTTATGAAGAACTTTGGGACCGACTACGTATATGTCTGAGGCCTTTGATAAGTAGTTTGTTCGTTCTATATTATCTCATACGTGGTCTTGAGTCAAAATCACTTTTTGACAGTTCGTCACAGTTTGTATGAGAATGAGATTAACTTATATGTCACGTAAGTCGTAACTAGGGCTATGACATTCTGCATGAAAAAATCAATTTTTGATTAATCGATTATTTTTTTTAGCATGAAAAATCTATTAATAAATAATCGATTTTTTTATTAATCGACTTTTTCCAAATTTTTGAATTAATTTCAGAATAAACACCTAAATATTTTATTCTTCATGGTTTTTTTAATTACAAATAAACAATAGAAATTATAAACACAAATTTACGTTTAAGAATAATCGAAATCGAAAGTAACTTAATCTCGTTTTGATAGATTTTAGGTGAAATTTGATAAATGTGCCTTTTCAGTAGCACATTGCAGTATTTTTGTTGTTTTTTTAAAATTAATTGTAACAACTAATTTGTAACAATTAATTGTATGTAATCTTGCGCTGCTGAATAAATTTACTTTACTTTTAAATTATAGTGTTACATTCAAACTTGAGTTTTTGTAAAATTAACTGGTTTTAACTGGTTTCGATGTTTTACAAAAAAACATAAATGCATCGAGTATATCAATACATCTTCAAAGCATCTGATTCAATGTATCGCATTGTAAAGTGTAAACATCGATGTATATCGAATATTATCCCTAATAGTTCGAGGTCCGGGTTATACAAGACCAGACATAATGTCTGGAGGTGGCAGATGTAAAATCAACTATGATTGATTTGCAATTATAAAAATAATCGATTATTAATCCATTATTTTAAATATAAAAATCGCGTACAAAAATCGATTATTTTTTTCGTAACTTTATTCATATTCATATTTTGGCGTTTGTAGGTCACGTCTGTCGAAATTAGACTTTGTCTTAGCAACGGATATGGCCGTTTGTCGAAAAGTTTTCATGAAGGAAATGACATCGTCCTAGTTCTATCATTAAGGCATCTTGACTAGGCCTATGGCCGTTTGTTTTTTGAAATTAGCTATCATTAATTTTGACATATTATTTTCAGTTGTATGTGTCATCTCTGTGTATGAGTAAAACAGCATTGGTAAATAATAAATGGTAAAACTTGAAACCTAATTGAAACGGAGGAGAAATCGTTAGATTTATATAATGTCCTATCTAAACTATCTATGTAATAATCAAGGACCAAATAAGAGAGAGAAAATTATTGGAACATGCTACACTATGTGTCCCCAGGAAGAAATTTGGTTGTAAGTAATATTTAATGATTTATTATGGTATATCCCAAGAATTATAAGCCACATCTGAGAAACCCCATACAGATATCTTTAAAAGATTAGGTTGTAAGTTACCTGCTGTATACTTTAATAATCTTACATGATTTTTAACATTTGTTATGCTGTCTAACAAAATTAACAATTATATCAATTGCAGACGAAAGCGTGAAAAGCTTATACATATATTGGAAGTGGTTGGTGATAATTTTAAGCTTGTGAAAAGTTATAGTCGGTCAGCTGCCGATGCTAACATGGCTGTTCCTAGCCTGCTGCGACCCTACAATGTTCTTAAGAAAACTGTTAATTATTTATTACATGAGTAAGTTTAATAATCTATAAAAGTTAGTATGTTTGTTAATCTGCATCCCAAGTTCTACTTTTTTAAACATGATCTTAAAATACAAGAAATGAAAAAAAAAATTACAGTTACAAAAAGGAAAAAAACAACGGGTTGCACTCCGGGAGTGCCAGCAGAAGTGAAAACTTGAATATTCACATTGTGCATTTTTGATATTTTGGAATGGTTAGGGAATAATTTTGCACAAATTGCTTTAATTATCAGTATCAAAGTACTATCATTTATGTGGTAGAATACATTGCGCTATCGTACACAAACATGCCACTTTATATTACATTAAATACGCCGCGCCAGCTGTCTACTCTCCATCCGTTGTCAGTCTGACCAAATCGTTAATAATAAAGCTTTAGACGTTTCGCAAAAATAAACCTTGATGTATTGACTTAAAGTCCGATTCCACATGCATCAATGTATCTGTGGAAAGAGACAAATGAATTAAAACCGTAACTATATAGAACGAAGGTTCATAATCCTTTAAAAAAACATCCATCTTACGAATTTGTCCTGACGCGAGTTTAACATGTTTTACCCATTCCAAAAAAAGTGTACAATGCCACTAAAGAAGTTTTCACTTCAATAACGAAAATCTTCTTTTATACATTAAAGTACAATATGTATGTAACAATAAGTAGTAAAGTAAGCAAGCAATAACTTTTAATATTATATACACAATGGTGTCATTTAACCTTGCATTATATTTTCCAGAGTGGGTAAACGAACAAATGTACCAGTAATAGTAATTTATGACTTTTTAAATGACAGACTAAGATCAGTGCGTCAAGACATGACAATACAAAGATTGCTTCCTGAACAATGTGTGGAATTACTTGAGCCAATAATTAGATTCCACGTGTATTTTGCTTACAGGTTTAATATATTTTCATTAATTACATTTAACACTGTTATTCTTACAGTTTGTTAGACAGCTCATTTTTTAAAAATTCCTTTGGTACTTAATTTATTTAAACATGGTAAAAACACAGTTATTGTGATAAGCTTACCAATAAAATGGTACTGATTTCTTTCAGATTATGTGAAAAACCAATAAAAGAATTTGATCCAGTACTGAACAACAAATTATTACTTGAATGTGTTAAGTGGTTTCTAAGTTGTGCTGATGAAATGGACAGACTAAACAGATGCTTCAATATAGATAATACAGCACTGAGTTTGGACATGGTAAACTTAGAAGATAGTAAGAATATGTATGACAGAGTTCTTGTGGAAAGTTTATATATTTTGTGCAATATAGAAAATAATCAGCTTTTGGTGCGGTATCTTGGTTTACCAAGTTATATAAAAAGGTATATTTACTGCTACAACTTTTGGCTCAATTGGTCAACACACACACACACACAGAAACAACATACATAATTAAAGACAAATTTTAACTTAAAGGAACAGAAAAGTGTGACCCATGCTCCATTAAATTGTGGGATTTTACATACAATACATTTTTACAGTTGAAACATTTAACAACAGGTTAGAAGTTATTAAATATATAATGATACTGAATAATTTTTCGTGATGCCACAATTTTTAGGTATAAGTTTAGGAAAAACTAAGTCTTACTGATATTTTACAATTTTAAATTAAATAATAACTGTTTGTTATACACTGATTTATTAGACTATATTAAGAAGTATTTCTTGGTAATTTAAAGTAGAGTGGTTTTTGCTAAAATAATGTCTGTTAATTTAAAGTTTTTATCTTTCAGAAATCCACGATTAAAGCTTGCCTATGAGATTGCAATAGCTAACTTAAAGAATGATTTTATGAGAGTTTGTAGGCTTTCTCATGGATTGTGTCCGCTCACCACTTGTGCCTTTGTCATTTTTTTACCAACATTGCAAAAGTAAGATATATTTAAAAGCCACTTATTTAATGTTCTTGAATGGTTGAATAAAGCCATTCTTTTATGTTTTAGTAAATACTTAATGATTTTTTGTATTAATATAAACAAAAGACAATATTAACTATAACTAAATGTAAATTTGTTGAATAAGATCAAAGTCAAATTTAGATCATTTATTTCAATTAGGGCTATTAAAAGGCACTTTTGAAAGTCAAAATTACAAGTTTAAAATATTTAAAAAGAAATGACTAGTTGCCCCTTCCAAAAGTTAGTTTCATATGGAGAAGAATGGCCAATAAACTCCATACTTACTATTTTAAATAGTTTTTACAATATTTTGTATTCATTGATTTGATAATTATATGTGAAGACCATGTACCCAGAATACAAAAAACTACTATACTAAAATAATAGGCGCATGTTATAAAAAAACAATGGAGCAGATAACTAAATTATTATGTATATACATGGTGCTCACATATTTAATAATATTGCAACTATTGATCTTTACTATACCTTTAAGTTTAAAACCCCTGTGAAACAGCAAGTTTTATTATCCATTTTCAGTACTGAAATCTCAAATTTTTGATGTCAACATTATTTAATATCTATATTACAATTTCATCAGAAACACACGGTTATATGATTTTTCAAAAAATTTCAGAAGAATTCTACAAATAATGAGTTCAGCATACAACAGCAAACAACTGACGGTACCAACAACAGTATTACAAGACTGGCTGTTGTTCAACAATGTTGTTGATGTCACTGAATGTTGTAAACTCTATGGCTTAAATGTTGATAATGGAGTACAATTCAATAAGATGTCTTTCAAATGTGATATTGAAGTTGTAAGTACAGTTCTGTTATAAAAAAACCCCTACTTATTTCACCAACAGCACTTTGTTTAACTAGTAACCAAACATGGCAACAATGGTAACCAATGTAAGACTGTATGTAGTGAGACTTAGGGTGAGATCTATAGAGCGCACTTAGACTTTGCTCTGACTTAACTATCGAGTTAAGACACAGTCGGTATTTATAGAGCAAACTGCGAATCTCTCCCTAGTGTTGGCTTAGCTTAATCTCAAGTCCACGAAATCGACGACTTACCAAAAACTTTGACTATAAGCCTAACAAAAATAATGGCCCAAAATTTGCTTTACCATCATATCTTTTACTGGACTTTTTATTTTTGTCGGTTTTTAATGAACGGTGTTGCTATTTTATATCGGAGTTCCATAGACTTTGGGAAAAATAGAATTTGAATTCAAAGAAATGATAAATGATCTTGATAAATACCTATGAAATACATGAAATGAAATAATTACACATTATTATGGTATTTATTGTTGTTTATTTATATTATTTATGTAAGTGTTCAAACCCCATTTTTGAGAAATCTTAAAAATAACTGGTGTGATATTGTATGTCAGCTGGCAGCCCTGGCATATTATGTTGACAACAAAATTCAAACTAGTCTATAACAATTAACAGCTAAACCGACTTCGTCTCTCGCTTCACATCTGTTATTTTCGTTTGCCTGAATCTTCAAACTTTTATAACCTGACCACAATAAAAAATTCGAGATAGAAGTGGAACATATGAAATTAACAAATAAGTTAGAAATAGAAATTCTTCAACAAAATTAGAAATTAGAATTAGAAATTTTACAGTAAAAATAGAATCAGAAAATAAATGATTAAAATGAAACAAGTTCTGTTATGATATTCTTTATTACCAAACCAATTACCTAGTTAAATTGTGCGATCTTTCATTGTTTCTGTATTCTTCATCTTCTGGTATCTGATCAGCAAGCAAATTATTTAACAATTAAGCATTCCCTCTCTGTATACCTATATTATGCAATACAGCACACGCTATAATACTAAAAGTGGTGTTAACATGAAGTTAAGTGCTGGATAACCGCTGTCACCTACTAAAACTCCTTCTAGTTCACCATTTAGCAGTCTTGCATACGCCTGGCAGTTTCTAAATATCCTGCTGTTGTGTGAACTGCCAGGCCACCTAGTCACTATATCAAATATTTCCATATCAGGCCCTATTATTGCTTGCAAATTTACAGAAAAATACCCTTTTCTATTTCTGTATGCTTCAGAGTGGGCGATACCTTTGGTTCTATAAATTTTGATATGGGTGCAGTCAATAGCTCCGATTATATTGTTTAGGCCATTGTGAGTATTAGATCTAAAGTAATATACTCAACTCTGCAGAGACTTTACTTATAAAGCTTATGCTGTTCAGATCACCACACACCATCTGTAATGTCAATGAATTATTATAAGTTACATATATGTTATGTTTCTGAAAGTGAGAAGACAAATGTATTTAAAATCATTTTAGAATACATAGGTATAATATATCAAATTGAAAAACTATACATATTTATGAACACAATATTACCTGATAACATGCAGTTGCATAAAAGCTTAATGCAATAAGTATTTGCAATTACGGTAGAATTGGCGATCCTCTGTTGTTAAAGGTTGCAAGTTTGTAATGATCAGCGGCAGGATCACATTTAATACCGTGTTTTTTCTTTTGAATTCATTCTCACCGTACAGCTCGAAAGTCATTTCGGTTGTATTCGTTCCGAACATATACTTTAGGCATTCGTGGATTCATATCGGCTGCAGTTCCTACCCTTTCAATGTTTTCTATTGAAGATAGAACTCTCTCTCTCCATCATGTCACTTTCGATATTGATATTTCCAAGCGGTCCATGTAACAAAGCCAAATCACAAAACGTCACAGTGCTTCGGGAATGCGTAGGTCTTAAGTAGGTATACGATCCAGATTAGTCCAGGTCCAAGTCACAAAGCCAGTCGTTGTTTTAAAGAAAGATCAAATATATCTAAACTCATACAAACAGAAACAGAGAAGAGAAAAAGCGGTTTAAAATTTTCAATTGTTGATAGTTTATACAAGTGCTCTGTTGCTGTTGTCAAAACAATACGATCCGTTCTACGTAACAAAATTATTGTCATCTTTAAATAATTAATACATTTTCTAAAGGTGACTCGTAAATTTCTAGTTATTGCAATAATAAAATAAATGAATACATAAATAACAATAAATTGAAGATATATATGTACCGTTTTAGATGTTTAAATATTTGTTATTGTTTACTTTTTTAAAGTATAATAAAGAAAGTATTGCATGAAATGAAACATCAATTTGTATTTTGACATTTTCTGTCTTAGCTTGAGTTTAGCTTAATCTCACCGTTAAAATGTCTATAAATACTAAATCATAGTTTAACCTTAGTGTACACTAAGCAAAGTTTTTCGTAAGTAAAGTCTGAGTAAAGTCCAAGTGCGCACTATAGATCTCACCCTTAGAGCTAAGTCTCGTTTTCTGAATAATTAAGAATAGTATTTTAATGGTGACTTTAATGTTAAAATACACTTTCATATTGATATGGAAATACACCCATGTTTTGTCCATCTCGTTTTCATATACCCCATTAACTTTTTAGGTCTGGATCATTTTTAAATCGAATAGGCAAGTAGGTGATCAGCCTCCAGTGCCTGACACACGCCGTCGACTTTTTGGGTCTAAGACATGTCGGTTTCCTCACGATGTTTTCCTTCACCGTTCGAGCGAATGTTAAATGCGCACATAGAAAGAAAGTCGGCCGGGAATCGAACCACCGACCTCAGGGATGAGAGTCGCACGCTGAAGAGGCCAATACTGCTCAAACTTAATAATTTAACAAGTCCTAACCGGTACAAAAATCACAGTTTTTATATTTTTCAGCATAAACCTAAACTCAACAATCGGCTTACTGGAGAACAAATTATAAACTTAGAAGATGTTTTAACATATTGAGATGATATATCGGGACTTTGAATCCCGGCAATGCAAAGGATTTTATGCTATGAATAGAGTCTCAGACACAGAAAATACCAAAACAGATTAAGTTTTAATATAAATATATTGGATTTTTTATATGGCAGTAATACTTAGCGCAGGTTTCGACTGAATATCTCCCTAAGACTGAGAATTGAATAGATGAGATTGCAAAAAGTATAATTTCTGTATATTACTTTGCTGGTTCTTACTATATATTCAAATATATGTGGTGCAAATACTTATTTTTGTATTAAGATTTTTCATACATTATAATAACCAAGATCTCATCTATGTTTTATAATAAAACAATTTTAGTAATTAATATTTTATTTACAAGAAAATTCAACTAACAGCGGCTAATACAACTAATTTACTACGATCAGTTACATCAAGAGAAAAAATAAATCTTTTTAATCAAACTTGTTTATTTCACTGGTAAATTTTAAATAATATAATTAATGTTTCTTTGGGGCATTAAGTTGTGAATAATCTCATTTTATTTAATTTCTCCTAATGTAACTTTCCGATTCATATATAACATGCATAGCAAATTATATAAACAAACAGGTACTTTGTACCTTACAATTTTCAACGTATCTCTAAAATTATCATAATTTAGAAAATGTCATTACAATTTATTTTTCATCTTCATGAAGCCGAAGCTATTTATTTTATTGTTAAAGTTCGTGCCCAGAAATCAGTTCAGCCGCGAAAATATAAAAAACTTGTATAGAAAAACACTGTTAACCATTTTAACGAAATAATAAAATCTTTTCATTGGTAACTATATTTCTAAACAAGCTATTATACAAAATAAAGAGTTGTCAATTGCTTTTATTACAATTCAATAATTATATTACAAAACTAATACGACAAGTGAGGTCTATGGCTGCACACTTATTTTAGTTCTAAATATGTCCACGGAGCGCTGCTCACGTTCTCCATACAATACATGATATTTCCAAAGCCATTTTATGTTTGTTCACTGTAGGGTAACAAATACAAATACAATTTTCATTTACGTTTAATAGTAGGAACCGAAAATATAACGACATTTTTAAATGAATACTAATCAAAAGTTATTTAGGGAAGCCATATTAAAATTATAATCACAAGGACAAAGAAACACGTGATAATCAACCTTTCTCAATTCATCTATATTAGTTCCATTTGAGAGAAAGAGCCAAAATTCTTAAAATAATTTAATTTTCATTGAAAATTTCTTAAACCAACCTCACTTCCCAACAGTGAAAACCAGCAGTCTTATAACACAAAATTCGAGTTCAAAAATGCTCTGTATTCAGAAATTTCTTAGATTTAACTAAAGACAAGGAGCTAAAACCCCATTAGCCTGCGACCTCACGTGTGGTATAGCACCAATAGAAACGCAAGGAAATTTTAACTATTACAAACGAAAAATGACCTATCTCCTTTTTAATTATTTAGCAATTTGTCAGGAGAAGAATAGTATTTAAAACAGTTTAAGTGAAGATAAAGAAACAATAACTTCTTAATTAAGCTGAATTAGAAAATTAATAAACAGCATTGGAAAAATATTTCCATGCGTTTCTTGAACACAAAATAACATAATTCATACGACAAACATACCAACACTTGATTCACTACAAAGCGGCATAAATAACAATTTACATGAACTATACATTAAAGACATGAGTGCGTGACCGTTTCATTTAAATTATATATTTTTAAATTTGTCAATCATGAGTTTATAGTATTAAATGATACATATACAACTTGATTTAAATACTTGTAATTGCACGCGGTTTCACTTGCGTTAATTAGTTCGCAGCGTCTTTGTATATAGCCTAGTCTTCCTGTTTTGCAAAAAAAAAACATATTTTTAAAGTATTGTATTAGTATTTTTGGTGGTCCTAAAATTACCTATAAAACTTCATAAATAATAAATGTTCTTGAATCAATTTTTATACTTTAGTGTTAATTTTTTTTAAAGATTTTGATGAAATATATCTACGTTTAATACTATATTAAACTCACAATACAATAAATGGTATAACAATATAATCTAAATAAGATTATATTTGTATGGCTGAGTATTAAAAAAATATATTTTCGTAACCACCATTTTAATGAAATCGGCTCCGACTCTAGTGCTTTTCGAATAAATAATACAATTAATCCAGCTTCGCCTCTCGGTCTATACTCTATCGAATTGGTGCACTCACCACTAACGCTTAGACCGCACTGCGAAGAGAAACCGTAGCGGTTAAAACAGCACGATTTTATTATGATACTAGCCAAAAAAATGGAAGTTTTTGACAAAAATGCGAGTGTCAAGTGATATTTTACATCATTCACAAACTTACGTTGGTTCAAACGTACGCGATTATGTTTTTAGCAGTTGAACCTATTTCCATACAATTTGTATAGTTTACTACACGTATTGGAACGCACGGTCATCCGTTTAGTTCCAAATACGTCCACATAGCGCTTTTAAATCTTTATTACGATCTTCGAATAATTATTAACAGAACCAACTGTTTTCTGTTTCTTTACTATACGAATACTATTCGAAACTATATTTTGTCTTTGGAAGTGTTCAAGTATTACGTCACGTAATTTTTGGAGATTATTGAAAACCCCCCATGTAACGCGCCGTAACGTTTTTCTGTACCCAATAGTAAAACGTTTCGTGACCACCAAAGTGACTCTTGATACCTAAAAGTTACCATTATGTGGTGTAAAGTACTGGAAAGTCGAAAATAATATTAACAATAACGCGTAATTCAATCCCCGCCCCGCATCGTAACGTTTTACAAAAGGACCCCCCCCCCCAAAATTCGTTACTTAATACTTGAACGCTCCCTTTTGTCACGTTAGGTATGGTTGGAAAAATTATATATTAGGAATAAATCCAGGCACCTGCACCTAATTATTGGATTACACGTATTATTAAGCGGTTTAACCACAGTGCAGCCAAAGCTTAAACGAGGGGCTGATTTTGTCCCTCTTCAGGAGAATTAGACTAAACCTACATAGAACACTGATTTCTTAGTTTTAATACAAAGAGCACAGTGAAATTTTATAACAGTACGCGGTAATTAGCCGCCAATTTAGAATTTACAACAAATATTTTTTTTTAACAGAGGCAAACGGGCAGGAGGCTCACCTGATGTTAAGTGATGCGCCGCCCATAGATACTCAAAGGCAGAGAGAGGGCTTTGCCGTTCGCGAGTGCGTTGCCGGCCTTTTAAGAATTTGTAGGCTCTTTTTTTGAAGGACGTTAAGTCTATTAAAAAAAATTAAAACGTGAACATCGTGTCATAAAACATTTTTAAAATTTGTGTCTTTTAAACTAATAAATAATGAGACCCAATTTAATTCCTTAATATCGATTTTTCTTGTGACGTCACAATCAGTGTTCCATTACAGTGAAATGCAACCCGAGTATCTCTTCCTTCACCATTCTCTTACTGAAAAGAAAGATATCATAATTATGTCCTTCTCTTACCATGAACTAGAGGCCAACGTTACCGAAGCTTGTCAGTCACGCAACGTTATGTGTATTTGTTTTCAATAATCGATTTCATATGACGTTTTGTTAATCCACAGGTGAAGTGAATAATTAGATCAACACAAAGAGCTATGGAAAGAAGTTGCTTTAGTTTTTTGTCTAATACGTGATATTACCGATCCTTATCACAAGCTTTGAAACTAAAATGACCGCGCCGGTCATGTAACATGATATCTAGACCACACAACAAATGGACATCAAAGACAACACAATGGACCACCAGGGAAAAGAAGTATGGGCAGGCCAAAAAGAAGGTGGGTCTGTTGCCTTGATAGAAATATCAGGAAAAGACTGGCAGAGGCCTTCATCCAAAACGGGGCACAGCGACTAACATTATGTACTACTAAATAATAATAAAAAATATGTTTATTATGGAACATAAGATACATGTATCACTTATTCCACATCATTAAATTTGAATTTGTAGGCATCCCTACTCATCGGCACAGAAGCCAGCGGCCGAGAGAAAAAGCCGGCGTAAAAAAACTCTCGGTACTCTTTTAAAATAGCAAATCATCAAACAACACTTATTTTAAAACTACTAACTTTTAGCTATAAGTACTAACAACACAATTTTTTGAAATGGAAATGATGGATATGGAAATAAAAAAAGGCTTTATTATTTATGATGTTTTGTAGGCCACAGACTTTGTAAAGTATTAAATGACCAATTGCAGTTCAGCGGGAACTTTATGATACAAAATTACAAAGTTTTACTGACTTGGCCTGCGGCCTTGAGTTCAGGCTTTTAAGGTATAACCATAATAATGATAAATAATTATTAAATAATAATGTTTGTGTTTTTTGTGTGTCACTTTACAGTGTAAATATAGTGCCCATGTCTTTTCCTTAATAGAAACTGTAAGTAGTGTTATTGGACACTTTCTTATCTTTTTTAGTAAATAAGGTTAGTTTTAAATTACTTATTAATCCTAATCTTAAATGCTGTCTTTGTGCAGAGACAATTTATTAAAAAAAACTTAAATTTTGATCCTAGTGTTTATAGTGAAAAAAACATCGACACACAAGTCCATACTCTAAAACGCATCTCAAATCACAACCTCACATTGAGCGCTGTCAATGTCAAACCTCAAACAGAACAAAACGTTTGACGTTTTAGATACCACAGATAAGATCTCTAACAGCAACTTTGGCGAAAAACGAAAAACCTCGATTAGCCATCAGATCAAGCGACGCAATTGGAAATTAATAGGCCATACACTCCGAAAGGATCCCAATCATATTCCAAAGCAGGCGCTTGATTGAAACCCGAAAGGAAAGCAAAAGCGTGGCCGTCCCAGGCAAACCTGGCGCCGTATTGTCGCAGATGAGGCAATGAGACCTGGAAAGACTGGGAGCTAGGAGAAATACTAGGCTCAAGACCGCAAGACTCCAAAAACTTTTTGGGGGGGAGGGAGAGAGAAACCAAATTTTTTCCCCCCCCCCTTTTCCCCCCCCCCCCCCCGCGCGCCCCCCGGGGGGGATTCGGTTTGGGGGGGGGCCGGGGGGGGGGGGAACGCGATGGAGACTCTGTGGACGGAATCTGCCCCATCTAGGGGTTATAGAGTCTGGCTTATGTAAGAAGATAATTGAATTATTTGAAAACTTTCAGATGGCAACACAGAATGTCATTGAATTTCTTAGGTTAGTATGATTTATATTGTCTTGATACTTCATGTAAGTTACTCATTTTTATTTCTATTATATATTTTTTCCGAAATAGTTAACAGGTATAAATGCCTAAACTTTGTTTTATTTGATACCGAATATTTCGACTTTCAATGCATACATCTCAACATATTGCAAAACAATTTTATTATTGGTAACAAAAGATTTAGAAATTGTATCAAGAGCGCGAAAACCTTTCGCAGGGGCAGTTTTTGGGTTTGACAAAAACCCAGTGGATTTGATTATTCGAATAAAGTTGTGTCCTTTATAATAAATTTAGTAAATTTCCTTGCAATAGCTAGTTTAAAATTTGGACTTGCTTCTAGCAAAGTTGTACATTATCTGTGTTTTTAGTTTTTTGGCCGTCGGGAAAAAGGGAGGAGGGGGGGGGGGGGGGTGGTTTTTTTTTGTTGGGGGGGGGGGGGGGGGGGGGGGGGGGGAGGGTGTTGGTGTTGTGGGGGGGGGGGGGGGGGTGTTTATGATTAAAAAAGGGGGGGTGGGGGGGGCATTTTAAGTATCAATAGTAAAAGACTGCACAAAAATACGTATAGTATTTAATTTCATAGAAATATAGTTGTACTATCAATGTTAAACTAAGGAGAACATAAACTTGCTCAAACGATTTTTCAATCCCATTTTTTACACACGTTTCCCCCCCCCCCCGGTTGCTAAATTTTTTTTTTTTCCCCCCCCCAAAAAAAAAAATATAATATCAAGGATATCCAGTAAGTTTAATCCACAAAATTATTTTTGCCCCCCCTCCCCCCCCGGTGATGTGAAGGTGTTGTGGCACTTCCGGGTTTTCCCCCCCCTTTTTTTTTCCCCCTTTTTTTCCCCCCCCCCCCTCTTTTTTTTTTTTTCCCTTTTTTCTTTTGTTGTGTTTTTTTCTGCCGGGGGGCGTCCCTTTGTTTTATATATCAAAAAGCTTTTGACAGGGATACCATGACTTAATATTTTTTAATTGGAATCTAGAAGGGGGGTTCCGTCGCTGTGAGTTGGAGGGGCGGCTATAAGTTTTTGGGGGCTCTGGTTTCAAACGGGTGGGGGCCTGGTGAGGGGGATTGGTGGGGAAGAGGGGGGGGGGGGGGGGGGTTAAAAAAAAAGAGGGGGGGGTTGTGTGGGGGGGGGACAGGGGGGTGAAAGCCGGGGGCGGGGTTTCGTTTTGGTAGTGTGGGGGGGGGGGGTGGGGGGGGGGGGGGGGGGGGGGAAAAGAAGGGGGGGGGCGCTTAGAAGCTTTTCGTCTATCTTCCTTTCATTAGCCAGACTCTAACGAGGAGGTTCCAAAAAGAGTTTGAATGTCGAAAAAATTTTTCAAAAAAAAAAAAAAAAAAAAAGGTTTGCTCCCCCCCCCGGGGGTGGCCCCCCCCCCCCCCCCCCCCCCCCCAAAAATTTTTTTTAATAAAAAAAAAAAGAAAAGGGGGGGGGGGGGAAAAAAAAAAAAAAAACCCCCCCAGGAAGAAAAGGGGATGGAAAATAAAAAAAAAAGAAAAAAATTTTGTGGCCCCAGGCCAAAAAAAAAAAAAAAACAAACAAACACCACCCCAAAAAAAAAAAAAAAAAAAAAAAAAAAAAAAAAAAAGAAGGACATTAAGTCCAGTCCACAGACAAGATGATTGTCAAAAACTTGGTTAAGTAACCACTCACCTATCCTAGTTAGACTTAAGAAAGGCGTCATCAAACAGCTCCAGCTCGTGCGAGAGATAATTAGCTTTGTTTCGTAGTTTTTTGGCTGAAGTGGAGGCGTCGTCCAGCATTTTGATGGCTTCGCGGACCTCCGTCAGCTCCGAGTCCATTTCGGTTGTGGCCTCGTCTATTAGACGACAGAGCCGCGCGAACATCGTTGACAGTTCTCTGAAAATTCACATCACACATATGTCACTGGAATGAAACAAAACTATGAAGCTAAAGCAAGCGGTATCACTTAAATTTTTTTTTAATTTTAATTCTGTAATGTTCCGAGAATCACCTTCTGCTTCATTTAGGATATTTTTTGAAAATCACTTTCAAAAACGATTTGCTAGTGTATTCATTTTCATTATATTTTATTATATTCACTTAAGTTAGTTCACATTCAGACGTCGTACCGGTTTAGTCCATTGCAGTTTAAATAAATAATTATTATTTCTTTAAATATCTTAATTTATCCCAACCCCGAACAGTAATAGTTTGAGGTTAAATGCTCACTGTCAACAGTAAATGTCTAACGCACACTAAACACTGAGTAGAGAGTGGATTTGAATTTGTAAGCGTCTGTATACGGCTAGCGCTGCGGGTTAGAGAAAGAGAAAGGGAAGCTATACAGGCTGGCGCCGTAACGCGTTACGTAACGAAGCAGTTTACCCTCCTATAAGTTCAAAAGAATCTACCTCTTTCCAACATAGCGTCGACACAAAGAAAGATACGAAAGAGTATTTTAGTTTAGAGTGTTGTTAGACTGAATTAGTTTTCATAATTAAAAAAAATCTTTTCTCTTCGTAATCTTTTTTTCTGCCCCAGTCGCATCGATGCCGTCAACTTTTAGGGTGATGCAGTGATTCCAGTGATAGTGATTTCTTCACGATGTTTTCGCTCACATAGACAGAACGTCCATTGGTACACAGCCGGGGTTCAAACCTACCTCACCATTAGGCTAACACTCAAATGGAACACAGAAAAAATTACATTCATGACATATCTCATGATACCATAGGCCTACTTACTGCTGCACTTGATGGCTGCAATTAGCCGAAGTGAGGTCCACAATAAGCCGCAATTTTTTCCCAGCGTGCGCCACGTACTGCTTCTTGAACAATCTCTCTTGGGCCTTGGCCGTCCAAGTGAGACGCTCGTACGCGTACAACGCGCCGTATATCGCGCCCGTCACCACTACTACGCGCCAACCGACCGTTTTTAGTAACTGAAAATTAATGAACGTTTTATATAATAACACAATGAGCAACAAAAAATTACATAACCCCACACGTAGCCGGCGTAACACTAACTACTAAATCGGAAACGAATTCAAAGGCCGGCAACGCACCCACTAAAAATGGGTGTCTATGGGCTGCGAAGACTGCCCTTTTTGGTCGTCCTGCAAGCTCGTTTGCCCCCCTATTATATAAAAAAAACCAATACGGTCGCAAAAACGGAGGCAATCTGTTGCCATAATACCAGTGGACCCGTTTCGTAGAAGAATTCGCCTGCGAAGATTTTTGGTAGATGGACTCTAATGCAATAACAGCGTTCGGTTATGGTTGGTAGACTCAGATTCCGCACTTAAGACTCATAATCGGTTCCTTGTGCGTAATTAAAGCGTACGACGGTGGCTTGATATATTTTACTTGTCATATCTAATATATAAAATTCTCGTGTCGCAGTGTTTGTAGTTAAACTCCTCCGAAACGGCTTGACCGATTCTCATGAAATTTTGTGTGCTTATTGGATATGTCTGAGAATCGGACAACATCTATTTTTCATCCCCCTAAATGTTAAGGGTAGTCCAACCCTAAATTATTTTTTTAAATTTTTAGATATATTACTTATTTTTTACATACAACCCCTAATTTTCACCCCTCTACGATCAACCCCTATTTTTTATTATAAATGATATACATGGCAAAATGACGTTTGCCGGATCAGCTAGTTTTTAATATATTTTTTTCTCATGTAAGTGACATGTATGTTTTAAATGAGAATAAACTTCTTTAAACCTAATTCATTCCAGTCAAAACATGAAATTGTCAATATGCTATTTGACAAGAATTTCAAAACCATTTCGGATTATTTATTAGTGACTAGATAGGTTCTATCGGATTGTATAAATTGGATTTTACAATTCAGTTAAGTATTCCAGTATTCATTCATAATTTCAAAAAACCAAAACACTTCTGTAGGCAAGACCAATCCCTACGACATGCCTGAAGACGTAAACAAATATTTTTACGTGTTCATATTTTTTTTTAATTCGATCAAAAACAGTCTCCAACGAAATTAAACTCCAATACAGTATTGGAATTAGACAGGCGAAAACTTTATTTACAAACATGCTTCGTCATCGTCGATTCGATTAATTCTGACCGTTTGATATCACGTGAAATCTCGTGAAATTTTGTTTTAATTATTAATAATATGTATGACGGCGCATTCCTAGCGCCATCTGTTAAGAAATACGTTGGAACGAGATTTGACAATTGTCAGTCTGGCGGAGCGTCGTGTCGATGGTCAGCGCGGCCATGTTGAATTTCGTTTAGTTTTTCGAACGTCAACGCACCACGTTTGCGACGAATCGCTTTTGTTCCGAGTAATCTTGTGCCTTGTTGTTTTAAAACAAATTAAAAGTGATTGATTAAGTGATTCCCTAATTACTAGTGAATATATTTTAGTGAATTGCTGTAAGGGAGATACTTTATGTGATTTAATAACTTTTGATTGTGCCTTTGGTGATTCTTTTGTTCCTACCCACATTACAACTTATTGAAGACATAGCTGATTCTTATGATAAAAGGCATCCACCCAGATGTAAGTATATTATTGGTAAACAGATTGTTTGACCCTATATTATTGTCTAATAGGACAGTATCCTTACCAATCCAGAGAGCAATAGTCCGCCCATAGTGCCTTGTGAGGTGAGAGCTCCAAGGGCGAACTTGGATATCATGGACCACTCTTCAGCGCTGAGAGGTCCCACCACCGATCCACCGTTGCCCATGCGCGATAACTCCCCACTGGGAGCGGGTGGACCGATTGTTGGAGGTATCTGTTTTAATAAAAATGTGATTTACAACAATGATTTAAAATTTATCTAATTGTATCAATTTAAACGAAAATATATTCCAAGCTTCATTTTATACTCAAAACTAACCAATAGTAATATTATTTTTTTATATAGAAAATAATTAAATGTTTTTGAAGTTATACTTCTTTTGGCAATTAAATTTTCTATTCTATTCAATATAGCAAGATACACCGAAAATAGGTGGACCTTAAAGATAACTGTATGGAAAGGACCAAGAAGAAGAAGGAGAAGAGGTCGCCCAAAAAGAAGGTGAATAGAAGAAATAGAAGCGGTAGCAGGAAACGAATGAAGAAAGAGAGCCATAGACGGAGTCAGTTGGAAAAAGATGGAGGGGGGCCTTTACCCGTGAAGGGGTTCCGATCGACGGTACTGAAGGAAGCTAGAATATAGAATAACAAGCAAAAGGAAAAAAAATATGTATAAAAATGTAAAATTATCTAAGATGTGTATTATAATTTGTTTTTTGTCATGATTGGAAATAAAACGGACTTTATTATTATTATTACTTCTTTTGGCGCGTTGGGGAAAAATGATGAGAGTAAATTATCACGATGCGCGCGCACACCGTCACAAAAAACCGACACCCTGAAGTTAGCTATAGTTAACATTTTAGTTTTTTCTATTATTAGTGTCATTTTTTCTACAAACATAGAATAAAATTTTTGAAAAGATTTTTATCTTGTTACGCCAAAGAAATAAACTTCTAACGCGTGTACGTACACACACGCTTTTTTAAATCTAGCTAACGGTCAAATCAATAATTTAAATGTCCTATAAATTTACCAGTAATCTTATATTTAAATTGAAAAATATATTTTAAAAGCCTCTATCTTATTGAATATCAAAACAAAACAAAGACAATGTTATAACAATTCTTTCATATAAAAACTTACTGGTGTATATTGGGGTGGATTCTTCAAGGCAATTTTGTTCGTATTCTTCCCCTGGAACCTCTGAATGATAGCCGTGATACCGTAAGAGAATCGGAAAGTCAGGTCTTCTTGGAAATCGGCGCAGAGATTGTCGCAATTAAGGCGGTAGAGAACTTCGAACGGTTGCTGGTGAGGCATTATGACGCTGGCGGCGGCAGCTCGTTTGTGGATTGGCAGTATGTTGTACATACCATCTGGGGATGAAACTCGTAGTTGTAAAGACGGAAAACTTACTTAATTGAGAAATAAATCATCTGAAAACCTAAACTAAGCTAACACGGTTTACACAATTCCTTATTTCACTTTTCTGTCGGAACGATTTTAGAAAATCATGAATTGTAGCAAATTTTGGCAAACTAGCAATCCTAGTAGTACAATCTACAAACCTAGAAATCATTACGATAGCTTTTTTAAAGAAAATGTGATATGAAAAATTTGTCGAATATTTTTAAAATATGCTATACTCCGATTTTTAATTCCGTAGAATTCTGACAGCTATAATTTTTTGACATGACAGAGATGGCAAACCTTTTTGGCCGGGTACATTTTTCAATTTCAATACGAATCTGAACATTTGAGTTTATATTACATACATTTTATTTGTTAGTGAATGTATCCATTTTATTAAGTGCAAGTCCCTTTTCATCACATACAGTAAAAATGTACAAGTAACGATAACGTTTCTCCGCGTACAAACTTTAGTTTACATTTTAAGGCAATTTTCAGCTGCTAAAAAACTTCCTAAAGAAGGTCACGCGACTTCATATTATGCTCACCGGCCATTTCTTTCTGCGCTTCATCCATCTCATGTCCGATATCAGAAGACAGCCTCTTCTTCAGCCGCGAGCCCAGCCCGGATTCCACGTGTCTGTGAAGGGATCTTTTGTACTGCTCCAAGGCAGCTCGCTCCGTACGGAAGGGCGTGTCATATTCGTCGACCAATGCCGATAGACGACGGATCTCTTGGCTCAGCGTTAGTGATACCTGCATATCTCAAATTGTTAAGACGTTTTAAATTTATCAATTCAGATGTAATTATATATTTGGATAATTATTTATTAAGCTTTTAGGCATTTGCAGAATTTTACAGTGTATACTTGTCCATAAATTTCTCGAAAACTGTCATATCAACACGTTATGTGTACGTACGACATTCTTACATAGAAAGTAACATAAGTAGGTAAATGATATTACCATGTATTTGAAGTAGGTTTAATTTTCAATTTCATTTGACTTATATTATGCAGTTATATTTTGGAGTCAATTTTATTTAAGCACCCTCAACACTAAATGATGTTATAAAAGTTATGTCTATATTAGCCCTGAAAGTATGCAATGCATGTACATTAATTTAACTATCTTCCTAACTACTAACCATCCCACTAGGAATATTTAGCTTAAAACAACTTTAAGCTATTGTTTGGAATTAAAAAATTAAAAAAAAATGCTTTTCTGTAAAGATCCGTAAACCGGGACGATAGTTTAACGTGACAACGTCATAAAAGAACATTGATGAATTGATTGCATACTTAAGTCTTCGAGTGGAAGAGAGATAGATGCGGCGCAAGCGTACTATTAATGTAACGGGACAATGTTGTAATGAAGCCGGCGTTTATTAGACGTTATCACGTTTAAAATTGGTCGAAGTTGTTGAAAAACTTATTTGAAATTTTTACTTCCGGTTTTGGAGGAGCACTAGTTTTCATTTTTTTTTTATCAAAAAGGGAACAGAATGATCTATACGAATAGGAAAGCGGGATATTTAAAAAAATCCTATTCAAAAATCACCTTAAAAAATCGGAATTTCAATTAACATTATTTTTTAAAGGACCATAAACATAAAAAATAAACATCACAAAAAAGTTAGGTATTTGCGTTCATACCCACTAGAGGTATGATTAACCTGAATATAAACATATTCTACGACTTCACTTTTTTTGGCTGTCCGTTTCACATGAAATGCTCCTTATATTAATTAATAATTGTTAAATCATTATAAATATATGCTTATACTTTTTATAATATATACTAATTACTAGCTGTTCACTGCCACGCTTCGCTGTGGCACATTGTGATTGAATGGTTGAGAAATGAGAAACAAAACAAAGAATACATTTCATATAAATTTAATTTTGCAATACTTGTGGAAAAAAACAAAAAAAAAGAATACAAAAATAGATAAAAACAAGCCTTGATGCGGATTTTATATCATGCTAAAATTTGTGCAAAACTTTTTGAGTTTTTAAAGCGTACACAAGCCAACATAGATATATATAAATAAATAACTCACCTTGTGTTCAACGCTTTCCACCATTTTTCCAATTTTATCTTTCATCTGCCGAGTTATAGAAGTGAGTTGCTCCTCGATACAGGTCAGTTGTTCTTGCAATATCCTTTGTTTTTCCACTTTCGTTGCTTTCATATTGCACGCTGTAGTGTAGATCTGAATAAGTATTAAAGGACTATTCAAATATAATAGAAAATTGTATGGTGATTTAGTTGGATACATACAATATCATACAAGATATACAATCATAAACCCTAACCAATAATAAAAACCCTGCTGTGGGGTTGCTGATCTAAATTATAGGTCAACTGGAATCTCATGGCATAAAACAAAAATAAAAATTTTAAGTTTTCATATGGCAATGACGAGTGTCACCCGTCAAATTAAAATACGAGATCTGTCAATCGCTGCTGAGATTTTGTGAGAATAACTAAATTTATTATGAACAACAAGACCTGGCTGAATGGACTAGTCCTTTCCCTTTCCCATTAGGGATAAATGAATATCATCATCATCATCTTGAGATTTTGTGATTATCTTCTTGAAATTTGTTTTTTTGTAAAAATGTCGAATAAGCCACTTCGATCTCAAGCGAGAACCTGATGTATAACAACATTCTTCATACAAATGACTATATTATACTTCATGTTCATTAATACTAAAGACAAATAATAAAAATTGTGCGTGTACTAGGTGTACACACGTAAGAAGTGAAACTTCTTTATGATCTTATTTTTCGAAAAATGATCTACTATATGCAACTTTACAGAAATTCGTTAAATTAGATAAAGTTTAACAAAAGGCTTTTATTATCATAGACATGATACAAATATTTCATTTGACCTTATTACTACGAAGATTATTATAGAATTTCATTAATTGTAATAGAATTATTACTATCATTGAAAAACGTGACGATTTGCTACAAAATTTCTCCCATACGTCGATAAAGAAGTTTCATTCCAACGCCGATAAAGAAGTTTGACTTCAAGAAACAACATGGCGCGTAACCCAAAAATGTGACGCGTAACGAAAAAATGTTACACTTAATTTTTTTCCAACCTCGATAAAGAAGTTTCACTTCAAAAAATTAAACAGTATCAAGATCATTTAATCCAATTTCCCCAGTATTGTTCACAACAAATTTTAATTACCCTATTTACCATGAGATTCCGGTAGAACTATATGATTATAGTTACAATTCAAGTCAATTTCTTCAGAATTTCTTTCCGACAAATATTTTGTTATATTCTGAATAACTCTTAACACTTTTCGGCATTTTAACGCACTTATAACACAAATTCCAAGAATTAGACCACGCACAATGGAATCCACATCACACTGTGACAGATGACTATGACAATCAATAATGACATCTTAAAGATTGTTGCCATTTGCCAAAATTTGCTCCAAAGTTTTAAGCAATATGGCGAGGTTTTATATTTATTGATCGGGCTTTAGTTATGCAATTAAACAACTAGTAATATAAATTTAATGATAATTGTAAATAACGTCACGTAAGTTTTATTTTTGAAAATAAATGCGAAATTGTGATCAATTTAAGTGTTTCATAGTTTAAAAACTAAGAATGTAACGCCGTTTCATTATGAATAGGTGAAAATCGGTATAGTAACTCATTTTAATCAAATAGAACTTCATTTTAGAAGGAAAAAAAGTGATTAAGGGATTTCTAGCCATATCAGAAACTATATTACAATGAATGGCGCCTCAAGATAATTTTTTTGATTGATCAGGATTCAGGTGGAGCTGTCAAAGTATGATGATAAAAATTTACAAGAGAATAGAATAGCTAAAAAGTTAAACAGGATAGAAACAAACACGCACAGTATTAATAATACTGCAAATACCATCACCTCTCTTTCCAAAATATTTATTTCTAATATTGTTTTGATATTTGTTGAAAAATGTAGGACTAAGAAAACGTAAAATATAGCTAATGATTTCACGAGTAGGAATAGTGTTCGTACCTGTTCCAAAGCAGCCATGACGTCAGCGGCGATATTTTTCCCTCGCCGCGAATGCTGCGCGAACTTCGTCTGAACCGCACTTTGACTGATGCATTCTTCGAACTTACGCTCGAAGTCCACAAACTCAAAGTACCGCACTTGGTGGCCTTCGACTAAGATTGGGGCTGGAATTTTTAATTAAAAAAAATAAAATTTAAGTTCATTAAATAGGCTGAAGAGTTAAGATTAATGAACGCCATTAACCGAAACAGTGAGAGGTACAAATTATTAGGTATTACAAAAATCTTTCTGCCAAAGGTTATCAAGGTCCTAAAAGCTGGCAAGCTTTTATAAATAAAAAATTGCACGAAGGGTCTTGTGTAATATTATAATGACACAAGAGCCTTCGTGCACTTGCGATCGAAATATTAAAATTATCGCGAGATTCAAATTAACGAGAGTCAAATTATCAAGAGATTCAAATTAACGAGTGTCAAATTATCAAGAGATTCAAATTAACGGGATATTCTAATTAACGAGTGTCAAATCATCGAGAGATTCAAATTAACGAGTGTCAAATTATCAAGAGTCGACTGCATTAGTAAAAATGTATACTATATAATATGTAAGTTAATATTTTATCAGAAAAATTGCAAGTAGCTTAAGCGATATACAATCTCATTGAAAAGAGAGTGACTTACAAGAGACAGGTTTCTCCCTCTCCTTCATGCGGGTGAGTAGAGCCTCCTTCGCGGAGATGAAGAAAATCCTTTCTTCAGCCTCTTTTGGAGAACAAACTCTTAATTCGCGAGAAAGGAAGTCAACGCAACGATTGGCGTGCTGACTTCGAACCTAAAAACAAATATTGCTTATGAAAATTGTTGATGACTAAGCGAAGGAATAAAATAATATTTTCGTAAAAGTGTGCAGCTGCGGAAACAGTGACGTGCAGCGTGTAGTGTGGTCGGTGATCTCAGGCGAATCACACGCTCGCCCGGCCCCCGCCCCCCGCAGTTGCATCACACTATTTATTAGCAAACGAAACAAATGACAATTTGTTGTTGCACAAAAATAGTTCAAAAATTTTTCTTTTCTGCATGTTTTGCTTTCTTGATAGAAAATGAAAATTGTGCAAGAATTGCTTTCTTTATTATATAAAACTATTACTTTTTATTATTTTTTATATTAATATCTAATATCTAGCTGATAAAGACTCGATTTATCGATACCACTTTAGACATTATATTTTTTATTCATTACATTTAGGACTTGACTCTGAATCGAATTGAATCAAATTGACATATTACTGATTAGAAGTAGTACAAAAGTAAATAAAGATTATTATAAATAATAATGAATTTACTTTGGTAACAGACTAACCTGGTCCAAGAATTCCGGTTCTGAAGCTGAAGCGTCCCATCGGTTGTTCAATATAAATATATTGGGTTGAGATATTTTCGTGGATACTTTATGGAAAAAGTTCTTTTCCTGTAAATAGTAATAAGAATAAATAATTAATGTTTTTATCACATATTAGTGTATATTGTCGGGAAAATTATTTTATTTATGTTATTAATTAATTCTATTTAAAAATAAATTTTTAAAGTGATAATAACCTTCAAAGAATTTGTATTAATTACTAGCAATGCACCGCGGTTTCACTCGCGTAGATAACGATCTAGTAGTAGAAAGTCTACTAAGTCAGAATATTTTTGTTAACAAAATGCAAAACTTTCTTCTATAATATTAAAGAAGAGATTTATTTGTAGAACTTTAGTGTTTCAGAACTTCCTTACACACAACATTTGACGTAGTTCTGTTTTGTGGCAGCAAAATAATTTCATGTTTTGGAGTTCCAACTCGAGATAGGCCAAAATACAATTGCCCATGGGTAAAACATTCTTATTGTAGACATCGATACGTTCTATAATACTGTACAACACTTTTTTGTTATATCATCAATAGTTTCCACAGCGCACGCCATGACAGATTTTTATGGATAATTTTTCACACCTTGGGTTATATTTTTTTGAAAAAGTTGTATAGCCTATGTCAGTCAGCATGATTGATTTGAAATCGGTCCAGTAGTTTTTGTGTGAAAACATTACAAATATACATACAAAAACACAAATATTTCCTCTTTGTCAATGTCGTATATAAAAATCCATCATACCCCTATTTTTTATTTGTTAATTAAAATCTTATGACTTGAACTCTGAGGTTTATAAAGAGAAAAATTCACAGAAGAACCTAAAAGTTTTCATTCCAGAAAACTGAACAGTCTCTGGAGTAGCATAGCAAAATGTTCCATGTTGGTATGTACTAAAAAGGTAGGCTATTAATAGTATTATCATACAATTTAAAAAACTGAAAACCATTGCAAATACTTAGAACTTACGGTGAGCATAAGCGTCGACTCTGCATTCGCCACGAGCACAAACACATCAGCATCCAGACAGTATTTATCGATCCATTCGTCTAAATTGGGCGACACGTCCACCCCAGGGCTGTCCACCAGCACCACATCATCCCGGAGTAATGCGCAAAGCTCCCTCGGCCAATAGATATGCACCAACGATGACTCTTGGAGACGTGTAGTGCACAATGCGTGGCCCAGTTGACTGACCGACTGAAAAAAATTATATAGAATTTATTTTCACTTTTATGTGAGGTAGTGTAGTACTGAGTTTTGTCCTAGAATTATGCAACATTAGTTACATACATATATATATATATATTTTATATACATATATATATATATAATTTTATATACATATATATATATATTATTTATATACATATATATATATATATATATATATATATTTTATATAGTAAAAATCTGTTATAACGACATCGAAGGGACTACTCATATTTGGTCGTAAAAACCGATAGTCGTAACAGCCGATGACGATGTTATTAAGTACCTAATACAATAGAATTCAGCCGGGACCTGTGATTACCCCCCCCCCCCCTTTCCCCCAAAAACCCCCCCCCCCCCCACCCCCCCCAACCCCCCCCGGAGTAAACCCCCCCCCAAAAAAGTTTTTTTTTTTTTTTTGGTTAAAAAATTTTTTTTTTCCCCTCCCCCCCCCCCAACAGCCCCCCCCCCCCCCCCCCCCCCCCGTTTTTTCCCCCCCCCCCCCCCCCCCCCCCCCCCCCCCCCCCCAAAAATTTTTTTTTTTTTTCCCTTTCCCCCCCCCCCCCCTCCCCCCCCTAGTGAATATAACCGGTATGTTGTTCTAAACAATGTTGTCGTAAATGGTTTTGACTGTATATATTTTAGTTAATATTAATTTTAGTCACACCTTGAAGCCCAAATGAGCCCTTTAGTTTTTCCCACACTCATCCATTGTAATATAACATTCTCGTTTCCGATAATGTCCAAAAGATCGACATTTATATTCTTTATAGGTAACATAAGTGTCACTTAGATTTACGAACCCTTAAATAAGTCAACCCCAGTACCCCTAATTTATGTTAGTTATAAGCTGAAGTTTTAAACGATTAAGACCAGTTGACACCCAGCTTCAAACAAAGAGTTTTAATTAACCTACATTTCAAAAAAATCCCTCCAAAAGGTACATAGGATGGTAATTAGTTTAAACAATGGTTAGTCTATTTAGAACTTTAAGCCTTTTCGGACTCTCGGTTATCACAATTGCTGAGAAACACTGGAACAGTCAATTTACGTAAAAAATTCTGGTTTATATCTCCTAAAGTTTACTTTTAATGTCTATGTTTTAAAAACGTCTGTACTCTAGCCTCCATTTAAAACTATGTATAAATAAAGAAAAAGGTAGTTTTCGCATTCAGATGTGTGTCCAAATTTATTTTTTTATCAAAAGGAAATAATTGATTTTTTGCCAATAGATAAACTTTAAAACTGAACTGATTTTAAACGGTTTAATAAATATATATAGGTCTACGCGCATTTGTTATATACATACTGTATAAACTCTTTATAACGAGTTTCAAGGGACCGAGCATATTTATTCGTTATAGGGAGGGAAGTATTAATGTATGTGTATTGGGTTAAACCAAATAAATTAAACTCATTTTTACATTATAGAGAGGTAGTCGTTATAAAGTATGACGTTATAAAGAGGTTACACTGTATATACATTATTAATTTACATTATAGAGAGGTTATCGTTATAATGTATGACATTATAAAGAGGTTACACTGTATATACATTATTAATTTACATTATAGAGAGGTTATCGTTATAATGTATGACATTATAAAGAGGTTACACTGTATATACATTATTAATTTACATTATAGAGAGGTTATCGTTATAATGTATGACATTATAAAGAGGTTACACTGTATATACATTATTAATTTACATTATAGAGAGGTTATCGTTATAATGTATGACATTATAAAGAGGTTACACTGTATATACATTATTAATTAATTTTAAAAAATTGAATTATTTTTTAACAGGGTAACATCGCTTTTGTGCTAGATAATACATGCAAGGCACAGAAATAAATAGTTAGATAGAAGTATGTAGTAAATAATACCTGGACATTATGCTTTTCCTCTGAGTCCTCAGTCTTCAGAAATGCCTCATCAGTATCTGAGCCCTCCACTTGAAGGAAGCAGTTGGTTGTGTGACCGATACCACTCGGCAGGATTTTATCATGCAACATTGCATTTATCACTGTACTTTTGCCATTACTGGTTCTGAAATAGGAAATAAAAATACTGTAACCTTAATGTGTAATTCTTCCTCTGCATGGTTGTCTCGGTTAGCCGAGAGCATCTAATGTGCATCTAATGTGAGATGGCAGATGATACATATTTAATGAATATAGTTACAGGTACAATAGACTGTCCTAAGTTACCAAGTAAGGTGTGTCTACATGTGTATAATAAGACACAAAAAAAACATAAACCTATACAACCCAATCCCAACACCATTTACAGAAGAAAGGTTTGACTGTATCATAAGTTAACTGCCAGTTAGCCTGGATGGATTAAAATGATTTTATTTGTACCTACACCTAATTATTAAGTACTTGTTTAATAGATAAAGATTATTTATTGGCATACAATATTGTTTATATTTAGTACATAATTTAGTTTTAATATAATAAATTTGCTGTGCATTGCAGCTGTGTTATATAGCCTTGAACATATTTCTTCTATGCACATATTGATATAAAAAGTTAAATGTTACTTAATTACCAAATAACCATTTACTAAACATATAATTATTATATAATGATAAAATAAATCCCATTAACAGCTAAAACTAGTCCACTAGCCAATTCCTTACTACAGCAATTAAACATTCATATTTATTATAAAAGGGTCTACCATTATACTATTTAATGGATGACCTTAAATACTACTATCAGTTACTCTCCCAGTAGTAATACTGGAACAGATGAAAAATCTGAAACTTATCACTTTGGAAAACCACAACTTTGTGCTTGTTTCCAGTAAAGAGATAAACCATAAGAGAATGATAATAATTTTTCAGTAGTACGTCAATTAGTAATACCTTCCAAAAAATGCAACTTTCATGTGGTCCCGTTTGAGTACTTCCCGTATAGCTTCAACCTTACTGACATATGCTTCAACATTTGCAACATCTTGAGGTGTTGCAATTCCATTTTCTCCGGAGACGGCTGGAAATAAGTAGTTTTATTTTGGCATTGGGTGACTGAATGTAAGTAGCTTAGGTATAATAGTTATTTTTTTTAATTTTGTGTGGTATTTTATCCCTTACTCCTTCAAACTTATATTTGTTTTTTAAAACTATAGAGGTATGCCAAGAAACAGGTGTTTCATAATAACACCTGTTTCTTCTGAAATACCATTTTACAATCCGCCATGATTTACCATAAGAATAAAAATAAACATCTGGTGTGTATCAAAGCTATTTTAAGGGGTTATACCTTTGTTATAATGGAATAGAGTGAATCATCACTCAACAGTAAAGAAGCATTCATTCTGTTTTATACAATAATAATACTATGAACATATTCATGATGTAATTACTAAGCAGTTGACCCACTTGCATTATGTCAAGAACCCAAGCATGTCATATAATTAAATAGTTAACTTAAAATTATTTTTTTTGTACTGTGTACTAAGTACAATAATTTTCAACTATGACTGTTTGATTGATATGAGATAATGATAAAGCCATGAATTTGAGTTTTTTTTTAAATTATCATTCACATTTATCTTTAAAAAGTAAACACTCTTCTACAAAAGTATTTGTTGATATATTTGTAAGCACTTACCATGCATAAATGTAACTGCATCCTTGACATAATCATCAATCTCAATAAATATGTCATTGATCTTCTTCTTAGCTCTCACAAATATCTGCAGAGGTGAATCCACATTACCCACATTTACACGCATTGTGCCATTGTTCATTGCAACATTGTGGGGCCCATCGCCGGCCATCATCGACATTGTTCGATTAACATAAGCAGCCATACGGGAAGGAAATAGTCACGGTTTTCGTTAGCTGTACCTTACGGCAATGCCAATATTATAGATAAGTCACTCCTACATACACATAACATGCAGGTACAACTGCAACAAAAAATAAGCATAACTAAAAATACTGTGCTGATGTGTGTGATGAAGATGAAAATGGTGCACAGTGATGTTTGAATGTCTGTGCTAGTTTTAAAAAAATGCCTAGATCTGAATTATAGCAATATAATAAGTAGAAAGTGAACTAGTAAAAGATTTGATCTACTTTATAAAGGTTATGTTAGAATTTGTGTTGCAGATGAATTCTTCATGAGAGTGAAATTTGTGAATATAGCAGGCTAAAAAAGCGAACCAAATATAATGTTAGCAAAACGCCTAAAAAGGAGGCACCTTATCATCCCGTTGCATCATAACCAACGTTCATCACTGCAAATGCAGTAGCAGCCGCGTGAAATATTAGGTAATTATTATTGTAAAATTATGCGTTTTTTACCTATTGCAATCTAATAATACCAAAATACAATTTAGACGTAAAACAACTGACAGCCGCTGAAAAATTCTACACTGAAATTCAGGAATAGCTACACTTTTTCAGAAACATGTAGAAGCACTCATTGTTATTGACTTACCTTAATTCTATAATGGCATTCTGCACTGTTTCTTAAGGACCGAAAATTTATTTTGCGGCAAAAAATTGAGAACCTGAAATTTTTTTCATATACTTTTTTTTAATTTTAGAAAATTATATTAGTATTTAGTACTAACTTCTAGTAGGTGGATGACAGTTAATGCTACTGTCAAAACTCAAAATGAATTGTATGATTGGTTTATAGCTAAACTGTTATTAAGATCCAATCAAAATACTTTATATTAACAGAAACTGTCCGAGTCCCGGTTTTTATTCTAGTCTACCGATCTCCATTTCCAATGACAGTTTAGATTTAGGATATTCATGACTTGTCAATTGTCAATTTAATTTAATGGTGGTTGATGGTTGGGCCAATATTGGCGACTGGCGTGTTAAAGTGTTTATCTTTTGTATTTACTGTTTTACATGAAAATTCTGAAATAGGTGTCTACAAGTTAGTAACTTTTTTTAAACTTTTTGGTTCAGAAAATGTCTCGATCAGCTCGTGCTGATACCCGGAACCGTGTTAAGGATGATATCAAAAGAGTAATGCAGGCTGTCGAAAAGGTTCGCCATTGGTAAGTAATTTACACTTGTGCACATAATACGTAATGTTTTGCCCGCTTTATTATTTAATTTTAACTTTTTTATCAGGGAAAAGAAATGGGTGACAATTGGGGAAACTACTATGAAAATATACAAATGGGTACCAATATCTACCAGTGAGCAGAAGAAAAAGCACGCCGCCAGACAAGAGAACAAGGAAAACACGTTGACACCGAAAAAGATGCACGATTCTTCGAACTCTAACTTTGGAATGGCAGAAGATTCTAATACATGTAAGTCATGTAGTATTTGGATAAATGTATAAAGTTTGTTTCATACAGAATATTTAAAAGTATTAAAGCATAGTTCATCTCAAAATTTTCTTGAAAATAATACTAGAATGTTACAATAATCTATCAAAACCATGCTGGTGCACCTGCACAATTAATTAATTATGCCCACCTATAATTATAATTATAATTAATTATGCCCATATATATATATATTATATTAGCATTCAATTAATAGGCACTTTCACTTATTATCACAGGCATCAGTTGGCAGTTCTGTATAAATTTTGTATCATCAAATAAAACAAATTACATATTGTGCAAATTGGTTTTCAGGTTTTTCAACGGTAAGTGATTCACAAGGGCCTACAGAATTTACTTCCTCGCATATGAACTTTTCTGAAGATTCAAACTCTCAAAGTAGTGGTACAACAACACCTGCAAAACACAGTAGACAGTAAAAAGTGTAGTGAGTTAATTTGAGTGAAGTGAATTTTATGTTTTAAGTTAGGCCACAATTAGTCCATAATTTTATTTATAAGGTCACATAAATTCTCAGCTTTAGCTTATAATGATGTAATTTGGAACATTGGTTCCTAATAATGCAATAATTATTAATAAGCTGTGATTTTGATATGATGACAAGACATAAGCTTTAGGTGGTGTGAAATTGAGTCTTGTGGCAGGAAACCGCTGTTGTTTGTCTAATAAATATTTAAAGAATATAAGTAAGGGTTGATGAAGTATTTTAAATTAATTACACATGAATCTATATTGGTGCAGATTCCTGTTATTTTATTTAATTTTAATACTTGAGTACAAATTCTAGGTTGGAACAAATATAAAATGTGCTTTGTATGTTGTTTTATCTTTTGAGAATTATAACTTATTATAGCGTGTATGAAATCAAATTGAAAATATAAGTAGTGTTATGAAATTTTATATTATGTACTTTTACAGATTCATTAAAGACATGGTTAAATTTAAACTTTCACCACTGTTTAAATCTATTGGTTATTTAGACACTTCTTTTAGGTCCTTCATCAAGGCAAATGGTACATTTATGTTTCATGATACTTTCTTAAAATATGTTTCCAACCTAAGGTTATAAATTGTAGGTGTGATAAAATATATTTTATTTCATTGATAGAGTAAAAATTTAAAACTCAAAAAATAATTCAGTGAATCAATTTTCATTTATTAAATTTTAACTGACATTTCTGTAAAAATGCTATAAAATGTATGTGTGTAATATTTAATTTAATAAAACAAAATTGTATATAGAAACAATATTTGTATTTTTTTTTTGTTTTTGATTTGTTCCTGTGGCATCTGCTACATCCCTCGCATAGGGTGAGCTTATACATTTTATTACCCTGTTCAGAGCTGAACTCCCTTCGGGTGATGTATCGGCCCCCTAACCGCCCTGTATTAGCGGGCTATAATAGCCCGTGATTTCGTGTCGTGTCCGGGGTGTTACGCCCGGTGGTGGGCGGCCAACGAGTATTCTCGACTTGGCCCTGGTGTCGTGGTCGGTGGTAGCGGGCAGACTCGCGGCTCACGGTGAAGCCCCGCCAGGTGAGACCCCGGTTGACCTGAGAGAGGCCCAGCGAACTCGTCAATGCGCTATGGTGGCGTTCCTCACGTAGCGTCTTCAGCTTGGTGCGGAGAGGAGTAGTAAAGCATGTGTTCCGCCCACTTGGCTCTCCCTACTACCCTGGAGATGTGGTGTGGCATGGAGAGTTTTCAGTCAATGGTAACCCTCAAATATGTCACCTGCGTCTTCTACGGCACGTCTCGATTCAGGAAAACCATATCGTAAGTTAAAACATATACAGAAATTGTTCTCTCTCTACAGGCTTATAGGTTTTAAATTTTTACTCGCAAATGGGAACCGAATAATTTCGAAAATTCTTGCGTAATCTACGCGAAGAGAAAATTTACCTGAACTAATATCATTAAGCAATATTTGATGAAATAAGTGCAGTATAAATTAAATTCTATTTATTGTATTTTTTATAAATTGATTTCATTTCAGAAAGGCTACAAGAATGCAAATGCGATGATAAAAATAATCAAAATGTATCTTTTTTAAATATGACCTAAAAACAATATTTGCACAAATTTTATTAAAGATATAACCCGTTGTTGTAAATTGATTGTTTATTCGAATAATATTAATAAATTACGAATTTTCTAAGTCATTTTTTAATTAGGAAAATTTGATTTTCTCATGAAAATGTACAATAGGCTTTTTTGTTCCTTTTAGGATTTCCATAATGTTTCAGTCAAGTATGACATGTCTTTAAAAACTGACCCGAAAAAACGACCGAAAGTACCTATAACACTGATAAAATTATCTCTTCCAGGCAAATTGGTAGATAATACTTTTAATAAAACCGTTTCACCGTGATTAGCCTTTGGGTCCATATCGAACATACATCTAATCAGATGATAAAATAGAACTGCTCTATGCTTCCTTATATTTACTTTAATAATTAACATGTATTATAAATAAACTACTTATGAAGAAACGAAATTATGCGGACTAAGTTACAAATAAAATCAAAATTTATTTCATTCACACTTAACTATCAAACGTCAATGGTGAAAAGTATATTTCTGCAATGTAATTAAACTAATCTGCTAAATTAAACTCGACTTATCCACATTTTACAACGACTTAGTTAAAGTTAAGATAAGACTGCGAAATAAATATAAGTACGCTTATTTTTTATTTTAAGCGAGTGCATTACTTTAGTATACAGTATGGAGGCGACTAATACATTCCCCTTCGCCATCGAGGATATTCAAGAACCTAATAAAAGTGAGTTGTACATAATTATTTTTGCATTAATTCTTGTAAAAAAAAAAATGTTTATTATGGAACATAAGATACATGTATCACTTATTCCACGTTATTAAATTTGAAGGCATCCCTACTCATCGGCAAAGAAGACAGAGGGTATAGGCCGAGAGAAAAAGCCGGCGTAAAAAACTCTCGGTACTCTTTTAAATCATCAAACAACACTTATTTAAAACAAATATCGCAAATTAATTAGAAGTAGCCTGTCTAGCACTAGTCCCAGGCCCTTTTATCAACTAGATAATCGTTGACTTTATAGTAAGCCTTTTGTACACAGCTTTTCTTTAATACATTTCTTAAATTTATTGAAAGGCAGTGATAAAAGAGCCTCTGGGATTTTATTAAAGAAGAGTATCCCTTTCCCCAAAAAAGAATTACTAACTTTAGATAGTCTAGTACGGGGAAATTGCAGCCTGCGTTTGTTCCGTGTATTAACATTTTAAATAATAGATTGCACGAATAGCCCTCTTCTGCAGGATGAAAATAGTTTCGACATCAGCAGCATGACCCCATAATAATAAGCCATAAGTCATTAAGCTATGAAAGTAACTAAAATAAACAAGTCTAGCTGTATCGACATCAGTTAGTGAGCGAATTTTTTTAACCACGTAGGCTGCAGAACTAAGTCTCTTCGCCAATCCGTTAATATGAGGGGACCACTGAAGTTTTGAATCCATGGTGATTCCGAGAAATAATGTATAGTGAATATATCTGTACGATTTTAATGTTCTTTATCAATGCTCTCTCTTCGATTGTCCATTGGTTTAGTATGAATAACCTTCTACTTAATGCAAAAAAACGAAATGCATTAAATTTTGTGCAAAAATGCAAGGGTTATGGATACTATTTTAGGACAAATTATTTTTGTATGTTTGTAACGAATAAACTCAAAAACTATTGGATCTCAGTAATTCTTTCACTTTTTTTCATTTAGAAAAATAAATGTCCAGCTGGGACAGGCCAGTAGGTATTTAAAAACATAAGCGTTTTAAACAATTGCGTTTGGTTACTATTTCTATTAAAAACTTCTATCCTTGTAAAATAAATACATAATAACATTTCAGTATATGACAAGAAACTGGTTCATGTGGGGCCGAAACGGTATTTATTTCCAAGCGGATATAGGGAATTGGGACCGCAGTATTACAACTTCAAGCTTCGGTCTGATGATATCTTCATCGTGGGATTGCCTCGATCTGGTAACTTTGATAAGCCTCAAAGGAAATTAACTTGTCTCGGTACTTTAATGCTTAGACCGAAGAACGTGGCCAGTATAGTTGGGCCAACATCATAATATATTAAATTATTTTTTATATACCCTTTCTTTTTCTGTATTTATTTTCAACAATATCATTCTATTAATTAGTTGTCTTTGTGGAAAATTTCTATTGTTTTAAAGTGTTGTTTTCTCAAATTGATTGTTTGTGATAATTTTTTGCATGGATATTAAATAGAAGGTATTAATTTTTATTTTTGTTTTTTGTGTGTTTTTTATAGAAAGATTATTTTTTGAGTTTTACCGCTCTCCATATTTAATTGATTTTACTTAGGAAGAACGAATCCCCAAAGATGAAAATTTAAAATAATTCTTGTTTGTCTAGTTTTAGAATCTGTAAATTAGTAAAGTGAGGATTGCTTATAGGTTGAAAAGAAAAGTTATATAGGTAAATTTATACCTTATAATTTTCATTTTTTTATTTGTAGATCATATAAGTATTATTTTCTGAATCTTGTCCTATTTGAATGCGACAAGTAAAGAAAATGAGCAGTAGATCTCGTGAAGTGTTTAAAAATGCAAGTTGTTCGGCCAGGATAAAGCGTCTCTAAAAAGGGTTAATTCAAATTTAGGGAAAAATTAGCTGATTGTTGATAAACAAGTGGAGGAAGTCACATCCATTGAAATACTATAAATTTTTCATAATAAAATTTTGAAATAAAGGTATTAAAAAGATCTATAGAAGATGTAGTCACCTTTCAGTTATCATCAGGGTATAAAATAAATTCACAAAAATTTAAAAGTTATCTTTTGATACTGCCAAAATGCTTGTTGAGAATATCCTTGTATAATTTGCCTTATTATACATAAAGTTTTAATGCACGGTTCAGAGGTGATTGATAATGCTATATTGTCTATCGGTGAATTATCTGAAGAGGCAATCTTGTAATAAATTAGTTAAACTATTTAGAATAACACTAGGAAACATTCCCGAGAAGTAATAATATGGATCTTTTGAAAGACTTCTTCTTAATTCAGACCCACTTATTTCTAGCATAAGAAAGTTACCTTGTAAGAAGAAGTCTGTATTAGCAAAAGAAGTGTTGGATTTATTATGTACTTAAACTATATTGGCATAAAAGAAACCTGTAAATATTGTGAATTATAATGTTTTCCTATTATGTAAAAAGACGATGTTTTATATAAATCCTATGTTCAGTTTTCTATTATCTGGTAAATTTTATTATTTATATGTAAATTAAGCTATTTTCAGAAATCTATATATATAAAAATGAAACCCGTTCTTCGTTGTCACGACATAACATGAAAATAATGTATAAATAAAACTTATTTTATTGCTACCTATTATTTATTAGTACGGATGGATCCTTTTTTTTGAGAATATACATCTACCTTTTTAAAAATATATCTATTGTTTTACTTGTTATTATCATTAAAACCTTAAAACAATCATTTCTAAGATAAAAAAGTTAATATTTCATTTTTAATCCGACATACAACCTCTATGACCGCCTTTCTTAGGAACATGGACCACTGTGAAGTGTGTCAAAACAGTTTATAATCATTGACTCAACAATTGGGAGAATTGGCACAATCTAACGAATCGATTTTAATGATGTATGTTTTACTTAGGATTATTGAACTTTTCACAACAATTCTCTGAAAAATGCTGTCTATTATCTGAGCTGTAGGCTTACCGTGTACCGTTACAATAGCAATACAGATGACGAGTTCAATATTGACTTTCGAACCATGTTCTTATTCCAAGTGACACCAGCGCGATACAGCAAGGACACAGCAAGGGTTTCGTTAGATGGCGTTATAATTATTTGAATCAGCCCTTTGTTAGAGAGTTCAGCCATCATTGTCAATTATTGTAAAACAGTTCTGAAGCTCATGGTCCGACATGTTTTCACTACAAGTTCTTGTGTTACAGTCGAAAATATATAATCAAAACTTGAATAATTATTAGGTATCGTTTTGGCATTTTGCCTCATTTTAAGATGTTCTCGTTAAAGTTACAATTAAATAAATGTCTGTCTTTGATTATTACGTAACATTTTGGTGTTTTTTCAAGGTACAACTTGGTCGCAGGAGATGATCTGGCTCTTGAATAACAACTTAGACTATGATAGAGCCAAAGCGACAGTCCTCTCTGAAAGAATTCCAACTATAGAGTAAGTGATTAGTTAATTTAACTAAAATAATCTTATTGTAACTTGAAGCTGGGTGTTTAAGTGGGCAGTAGGGATCCCAATATCCCCGACTTTTGTGGTGCGGTACCTTATTTTATATACATATTTTGTACAAATATATATACTACTAGTGGAGCCCACAGACGTTGTCCTGCATGATATTTAAAGCGATTAGGATATTAAGCAAAGTATGAAAGTACCGACTGCAGTGCCATCTGCCGGGCTGATTTGTGAATCTAAACCATTCCCAGATCCCCTTGAACACACACAAAAAATTTCATCAAAATCGGTCCAGTCGTTTGAGAGAAGTTCAGTCACATACACACGCACACAAGAAATATATATATTAAGATATAGGCGAGTGGGGGCCCGTCGTCTTGCCTCCGCTACGCTCTTATTGCAGTGAGTGACGTATTTATTTATATTACTGCAGAAAATTGCGATTTGAAGCTTCTTAATATTACGGATTAATGCAGTAGGAGAGTTGTAAATTGGAGTTTGCAGGAAAAAATGATCTATACGAAACGAAATCATATATAACATAGTGAACAATATTTCTTACAAGAATTTTTACAATAGTGGTATCAGATTATAAACAAAAAACTAATACATATATATAAAATAGGTTACTTTAACAAATACAAAAAGAGTTGTTTTTTTATATCTCAAATGAATTCAACTTTTTGTTATTAATCCCTAAACACATCCGATAGTTGAACGCCGTATTAAATGTTTGCTTCAGTCTTTGTTGAGATTTGGCAGGCGCTAATTATTTGCACAAAGCCGGGATAATATAATATCTTCATTTTTCCATCATTATTCTGATAAATTATAGATGATAAATATCCTGTACTACTACGATTACATTGAGTTTAAGTTATTGATTTAATGACGTAATGAGGTCTCGTCCAAATTTTTAGTTATGTCTCATCTTCGCTATTATTTTCTTATCCCTGCAATCTTTTTTATTTAATCTTTCCAGGTTTAAAATGTTTATAACATAACAACTAATACATTATATTAATAATACTAACCTAACTAATAATTAATATGCCAAAAATTATGTATATTTTTACAGTTTACAGTTATACAGTAACATTATCTCGTTGGGGGAAAATACGTCATTACCACAAGAGGTCTTAAAAAGGTTTGAGTCCCCACTCGATTGGTTACCAAATGCTCCTTCGCCGAGGTTCATAAAAAGCCATTTACCACTTTCTCTGATGCCCCCAGGTCTTCTTGATACAACAAAGGTATGTACTACAAACGAGAATAAACACGGCACGGTTTCTGCGTACTTGAGTATATTTCGTATTTTGTTGTGACATTAACTAAATGTTTATTTTATTTTAAGGCCAATTTATCTAATTTTAAAATGTGTGTATGATGTGTAAACTTTTAATTTCTGTATTGTTAGTAAGCGCTATATATAAATAAAAACCAAATTCCTTCGGATTTAGAGTGTAAGTGGAAATACATTAATGTAGCAAAATGACAATACCCTTGAAATTATTAATTTTAACTACTAATTAACTACATACGACAAAACAGCTGAAATATTATAGATTCTCTTTAATTCTTATTTAATATATTCTATATATATAAATCTAAATATATATAAATGATGATGTGCAAAGTGCACATGAATCATCATTTTCATGTGTACTTTTTTATTAATGTTCCTTTCACTGTTTTAATTGTTTGCTTTATTCCATTAGTTTAGTCTAATTAATTGTATGTCTTATGTAGTTTTGCACTTCTTGCGCTCACCTAATCTATTTAAAGTACTTTTTCTCACAGTGGTACTTTTTATTTAATTATACTGTGTGGTCACAGAATATATTTTTTCTTAATTTATAAGATGATTTATACACGATACAGGTTGTATATGTTGCGAGAGATCCGAGAGATGTGGCTGTGTCATTATATAATATATTGAAAATTTGCCTACCTAAAGATATACCATTTGAAGAGTACTGGGATGCATTCTGCGAAGGAAATAGTAAGTGCTTTGAATTCAAAAAGTCAAAATCGTTTATTCATATTGGTAACACAATGTACACTTATGAACGTCAAAAAGAAATACATATTAAATGCTTCTAATTTTACATTTACTGCCAGTTCTCAAATCAAGGGCGTAGAACGGAAGAGAAGAACTGGCAATAAACTCTCCGCCACTCTTTTTAGTCGCCAAGATTTTTGTTTTACACAATGATTGTAAGAAGCTACAGCCGTTACACCAACTTCCACATGACATCTTAAGTAATAAATAATGATAAAATAAATTAAAAACAAAGATTTGTCCTCTATCAGCAGGAGGCATGGTGAAATAAGAGCACGCACTTACATTCTCGTGGGAACACGCATTAAAATGAATAAATAATTATTTGGAATTTAAGCAGTTTATTACCAAACAACTTTAGTAATAAACTAAATAAATTTACAACTTTTTAAGTTTATCATATTTGGAAAAATATAACCTGTATTCGATATAAAATTTGTTATTTTGACAAATTCCGAGGTATTTTCGATAAAATTGATTTAGGGACTGTAAAGAAGAGAACATATCAATGTATAAAGGGTTCTTGAGCATTTTGCAGCCTTCTATCGGGAGTAATAATTAAATAATTTATTGCAATTTTAGTTATCCGTGCACCATTATTTGAACACATCAAGGAAGGTTGGGCTCTAAGAGATCATCCTAATTTATTTTTCATGACTTATGAAGAAATGTCAAAGGTGAGTTACAGGTAGTAGATGAATTTGTTTCCTTATTTTAATTCTTATAGTCATTCTAGAAAATATTTCTAATACAAAAAAAATAATAGAAAAAAAAGACAAGGAAGTACTAAATGTTTTTGTAATAAATTATAAATGAATAGCTGACCCGGCTAACTTCGTTCCGCCTAACAGTCAAATAATATATTAATTTAGGATTTCATAAAGGTAATCACATTAATACAACTTTTTTGCGAATACAGAAATGTTTTATTGCTTGCCATTGCGAAAGAAAAATGACAGTTTTACACATTAGGCCTCTTCTCTCTAGCGCCAATTGCGATACTACATGTAAAAGCACTTTCTGATATACAACATTTTTTGATGAGATGAGATAGCACATGTCTTCGATCAAGATCCAAAGCATGGTTATGCATCTCCACATTCTTGAACTGATACGAATTCGACATGGTGTTTGCAATCGTAAAATTAATTAATTAATTTATTGTTATTCGATAACTTATCCGATATTTTATTACTTATTCTGCTATTAGGAGCGGGGAAGAATCCACCAAAAAAGAGATAACTAACATCGGTCCAGCCGATCTTGAGTTATAAGTGGTGTAACTAACACGACTTTGTTGTATATATATTTAGATTAGCAGTGTCAGATACAGATAGAATATTATTTATCAGTAATATTTCCTGGTATATTTAAAAATTGAAATTTAAAATCTAAAATTAAACAACCCTAAAAAAATTACTTAATTTAAAAATAATAAATAATTTATTTTCTATTTTTAACCCATCAACTAACATTTTTAATTTATCAAAAAATTGAATAAGAATTTTTATTGGAATAATATTTATCCCATTTTCTTTCGGATTAATCCCTAAACGTTTAATATGAAAATTTATTAATATAAAATGAATTAAAAATTTTACTTAATTTTGAAAAAAATAAAGGATCAACCTCAAATTTTATTTCCTTATTACCTTACTCAAACATTAGTGAAAGCTTGATATCATTGATATTTTTTCTTAAAACACCGAGTTAGTTAACTTTATACGTATTATCAAAACAGTAACTAGGCAATCCAAACCAATCAAAATACCTTAATGTTATATTAAAAATCGTGTGACCACATACAGTCATAATGGGCGTGTTCGGCCGAAGTAAGTACTTACTAAATTTAGTAAGTCACTTACTATGCTTACAAAATTTTCGGCCGGGACACAAAATAAGTGCTAACGCAGTAAGTATGGCTTAATATACGACGCCATTTTGCTTATTGTTGATGTAAACAAAACGGACAATAAAATATCCAATAAAATATTTCTCATAAAATTATCCATTTGAAACTATTCACAGGTATTAAATTATATTCCTAAATTTAGTACTGTCAATTATATTCAGTCTATGAGGTTATGTACGGGATATGACATAAACCGGTGTTTTGTGTTATGTTAATAAGCCAGTAAGTCTGTCCTGGCCGAAAAGCGCTACAGTCAGCTTGTAAGACTTTAATTTTTTTATGCTTACTGGCTTACTAAGTTTAGTAAGTACTTACTTCGGCCGAACACGCCCAATTATATTTAACTAGCTGACAGGGCAAACGTCGTTTTGCCATATATATCATTTATAATAAAAAAATAGGGGTTGATCGTAGAGGGGTGAAAGTTAGGGGTTTGTATGTATTTTTTAATGCTGTATCATAAAAAAATAAAAACAGAAAAAAATATCTAAAAATAAAAAAAAATATTTAGGGGTGGACTACCCTTAACATTTAGGGGGATGAAAAATAGATGTTGTCCGATTCTCAGACATACCCAATATGCACACAAAATTTTATGAGAATCGGTCGAGCCGTTTTGGAGGAGTATGGCAACGAAAACTGTGACACGAGAATTTTATATATTAGATAATCCAATTTGGACCGCATTGTTAATTTTGTGCGATGTTACAATGTTGAACTACGTTTTACTGTCTAAAATTTAGCTTCTAAACCGGTTGAACTGACACTGACATTAGACACATTTCAACAAAATTTGTTTTTTAAAATAAATTGTCTCTGCACAAAGACACAATTTAACATTACGATCTAGCCTAACTTAAGACTAATTAAAACTAACCTCATTCTCTAAGAAGGGATATTAACCATAAGAAAGTGTCCAATAACACTACTAACAGTCTCTATTAAAGATACTCTGTTCTTGTGTACTATTTTTATCCACTTACCACAGTTAAGCCGTTAATATTGTATAAAGTTTTACATACCAGGACCTGCCTTCAATCGTTCGACGGTTGTCTATGTTCTTTGGAAAGAAGTATACCGAAGAACAGATACGACGCCTATGCGAGCATCTTAGTTTTGAAAAGTTCAAGACAAATACAGCTGTCAATCGGGATACCACGTTTAGTGCTGCTGGAATTACTAGAGAAAAATTTTCGTTCGTGAGAAAAGGTATTAACTTAATTCGGCTAATTCAATAATTTATGGTACACAAATTAAATATCCTTAATGGATACGACAGTTAATTACGGGCCACTGTCTTCTAAACAAACATCTCTTTGTACTCGGCGTGACAGACAGTTCCTTGTGCAGAAGCTGTTTAAGCGCAGGAATCAGTGATCCACGTAGTCTTGGAATGCGTGGCTGTAGCTTCCCAAGCAGAAATCCTCAGAGACGTGAGGTCGCTCCGTGAAGCCTGCGAAGTGCCCAGGAAACTTCGGAGCTTCTGGAAGAAGCAAGGCTGGCTTAGTTAGCCAGGACTTAGCCAAATGCGGAAACTGTACTGTACTATAGTAGTCGCACTGGCATTCGTTTGTGGAAGAATACAGATGATATTCCGATTATATACTGCAGAGCTATTATGAGGTATACAGAGTGCTCAAAAAAAATTAAGAATTCCTAATATCAAATTTCGCGTTTATATCCGTTAAAGGAATTTTATTTAAATAGCAGTAGTCACGTATTAAACTACACTACGAGTGGTAGTTTTGCCCTAGTATTAGAATGCCTCAGTCCTGAGGTCGTAAGTTCGAACAACGGACCAATGGACTTTCTGTCTATGTGCATTAAACACTCGCATGAAAAACATCGTGAAGGAAACCTCCATGCCTTACACCGAAAAGTCCACAGCGTGTGTCAGGTACCGAAAGTTGATTACCTACTTGCCTAAAAAAATGACCACAAAACAGATACAGATATCTGAGGCCTAAATAGTTTTTTAACACTGACGAAGTAATGAATTTCTTCTTTAAATAACGTGAGTGACAAATTTTTATATGAAAAGAAGCCAGTATTTTACCTTTCTCTTCAATACCAAGTCTGCGTTTGGGCTGAAAACACCGAGACAAAATATGTCGATATTTTTGTTCGCAACTGTGCAAAAAATCATTTTATTTTGATTAATGATGTCTGTTTTGTGTTTAGGTAAAGTCCGAGGTTGGGAAGAATGTTTCAGCGAGGAATTGAAAGGAAAAGCCAATCGATGGATGACCGATAACCTAGCTGGCACTGACTTACCCTTCTCGGTTTAACCATGGGCAAAATATTATATTAAAATTAATATTGCATTTTAATTAAAATGTACTTACTTTTTAGTGCACGATATGTTACGTCAATAAATCCATGTAGTAATGTATTATTTGTGTTTTATATATATATATTGGGGAATGCTCGGATTATCAGGAAATGTTCTGATCGAGTCAATTGACCGTTGATTAGTATGGTTACTGTGGTTAATAATTGAGATGCCTTCTATTACTTTCAATTCGATTTCGATTTGAATTCGATTTATTTGGTTATTATTTAATTTCAATAAATTTATTTATTCTTAAAATCAACTCTATTTAATTTTTTATTTCAACAACAAAAAAATAAATTTGTCGTCCCTTTTCCCTAGGTTTAAAATTACAATATATTCAAATTTTCCAATGATTCAATTTTAATTCTTCTTAAAAATAACAGTTCAGACTGGATATATTCTATTATCGGTTTAAAAATTTGTCTTTCTAAACCTAATTTCTTTTTTTCTGATGATTTTTTTTTTTTTTTGCATAGTTGTTGAAAATTTTATTTTATTTTATGTTTATGTTAAAAAATTGATTTTATTTTAATGTTGCTTATTTCGTTTGTTTTATTTTTTTTTTTTTAATTTCTATTTGATTTTTTACTGAGAAATTTCTTCATTAATGTCAAATTTTAGATGTGGGATTTTGTGAAATAGTTGGTGGACTTATGACTGTGTGTGATGTTGTGGGCTTTATAACTAAATAAATAAATAAATAAATAAATTTCATCATTTACAATCATTATATATGGATATTGTAACGACCAATCAGAGTGCCTCGAATGGGGTCGAGGCGCCATCTTGACTTTGGACAGCGCGTTCAGGAAACGCAGGATAGCTCTGATCAGTGGCAGGGCTGGCAAAATGCCACGGGCCCCCGACCCAAGAGGGCCCCTGCCCAAGAGATATTATGTTCTATGGATGAATCTGTAGTCTCCAATACGCATTGGGCTAGCGTGGGGACTACAGACCATTCCCTCTCGCCTAAAAGAGGAGATCTACGGCCATTAGTGGGACAAATACAACGTGTAATTGAGTAAAATGAAAATCTCGAAGTTTAGATATTAAAATAAAACTGAATTTCAATGATAGGGTCCCATCAAAAGAATTTGCCACGGGCCCCAGATGGTATAGTTACGCCACAGGTTCTGATTGAGTATTTAGTGGAGCATTGTGGTGATGAGACGTTGGACGGATTTGGGTCTATGTGATTTCTGGTTGAGTAGTTTGTGATTAAAAGTAAGACAGTTGCCTTGATGCCGCTGCTCGTTATAATTTAAGTTAAAGTGTCATTTTTAATGTTAAAAGGAATGAATCTAAATAAAATACTGTACGATAATTATTCGCATCTTTTGTGCTCGCACTTTACCCACATGACGCTCACTAAACCCGCTAATGATGATGTCCATAACGATGGAGTGACGATATCTCTCCGACATATATATATTATATATTCTGTTGCATACGAATAAATAAATACTACTTCATGTTTCATTTAATAAGAATCAATACATTATTGTACATATTTTTATTTTTGTTTCTTTACTTCGACGAATCAATTATACACGAAGTAACATTGTTAAGAGCAACACATATTTTTATTTTATATAGCTTATTTTTTATAATTTGATAACACTATAAAAACCTTAAATTTAAATTTTCTCACTAAGTGAAAGTATTTCTTTGTACCGTATCTTTGAACCGAAGTTAAAGTATGAATTTTGTATTTGATTTCTTAACCCATCACCAACCAAAACCATCGCTAAGACCCGTTAAGCTGTTCCAATAGTGATATCGACAGCCCAAGGCCGGCAACGCACTTGCAAGCCTTCTGACAATGTGAGTGTCTATGGGCAGCGGTATCACTTAACATAAATGTACAGTGCACATTTGTTTGGCCCCTGTTACATAAATAAAAAGAAAAGCGATGCCCAGGTTGCAACACCAGCTGTTGGCAACATAATGTAATATCTATAATTCAATTGTTTTGTTATCTGTAATTTTTCTTCATATATATATGTGTCTATGGTTTTAACTTCCTTCCGCTTCCATCGTGATGTATTGCTACTAGTGCTCAAATAAAGTGGTGTAATAATAAGTGAAAAATAAGTGTTTTTTCTACGCCTGACCTAACCTGGAAAAAAATAATCTACAGTCCACGCTCTGCAGCTAGAATAACCGTGTGTAGGGTAACGATTCATACTAGTGCCCTACATAATGGTCCTTCGAGCCGGATTCCGACTAGTAAACACTAGTAAAAAAAATTTTCTTTTGATATTTTTTTCCGCTGTTTTACCTTCACTTTTGTGCAAACATGATTAAGTATATATTTCTTAAATATTTACAGAAATCATTGATTTGTATTTATATTTTTATATGTTAAATACTAAAAGGATCTACCTGGTTCCACAATAAATTATTGATTTAAAAACTCAACTTGGCAAAACTAATTTAATTTGGAAAATAATTAGAGGCCTCCACTCCTTTGTTGCCCCGAGGCCCCAGACATCTTCCGGCCCTGGTATCCCCTTTTTGTCGAGCTTGACCTTATTTTGACTATTAATATAGGCGAATTTATAAATATGTTTTATTTATAGTCTATTCCCGCTAATTTTAGACCGTCTCATATAGACTGATGTATTATTGATTTGTTATAAGTAGTGTTTAATTTTTTTTAGCAATATTCAGGTGTCAAGTGGATACTTGTTAATATTTGAACTAATTAAAATCTGCTTAGTATACAGATACCAAATGCTGTGTTTTCCATAGACACCGAACATCCGAAGGTATTGAATGCAGATATGTTAAAACAGTACGAGTGTCCACTCAAGTGGTTGTCCAGTGCTCCATCGCCGAGGTTTATAAAAACCCACTTACTTACCACTTTCTCTGCTGCCACCACACCTGCTTGACACTTCAAAGGTATTAACAAATTCTCACTCTTACAAAGTCAACCTGGTATTTAGGAAATGCTGCCAGCGTTACCTTAGTGGTACACTGCCACAGGGAACCAACTATTTAAATTAAAAATTAGGTGAACATAATCTGTTTGTTTTAATTGCACAATTTGTTCATTTCGCATCAGTTTGTCTCAAATACATGCGCATACACACCTATTCACACACTCACTCATTCACTTCATTTGTAACACTAAATTTATAACTATTATTATTTTTTTTTTATTTTTTATTATCATCTTTTTTTTAAACTAATTTAAACATGTACCACGTAATAATTGTTTTCTAGTTACCCACAACACAGGGCCTCCCTAGTGTGGGGACTAGCGATATACCTATGAATTCTGTCACAAACCCTTTTGTCATAAATAAAGTTTTTATTATTTATTATTATTATTGTTTATCTTGTAGACAACAACAATTATACGATATTCTATTAGTATTAAGTAGAGAATCAGACTTCTCGTTTCTGAACTTTACCTTCAAACCAGTGGTTTGTTGTGGCGTCCTAAATATGAATGAAAGAATGTTCGGTTCATCTGCTGGTTTCTAGAGTTACATCATTATTACTTTTGAAATTTTCAGGTTGTGTATTTAGCTCGTGATCCAAGGGACGTAGCTGTGTCATTTTACAATTATCTGAAACTGAAATTCTTTGAGGACATTGAGTTTGATACGTTTTGGAATGCATTCATCGAAGATGCTGGTGAGCCAAATTGTTTATATAAAATAAATAGATACTAATAATAATAAAAATAATTATTTATTTGCTAGAATATGGTACAAAATGGTGGTACAATCAAACGTTCGAACTCGAAAATCCATACGGCGTGCAAATTTGTCTTAAAATGAATTTTACATAGAAGTTATATGCATTATGAGTCATATCCATAAGTCAATTCTTATATTATTTGTAGTGATCAAATATCCATTCATTCATCCAACATTAAAATATATTTTTATGTTATCAAATATGAATAATAATGTTTCACGCAAAACCAAGCGCCTTATCTTCTTCAAGTACGATTTTGTTTGATTAGTCGGCCAAAGAGACGAAATTTTTCGAAATTGTTATAGGTTTAATATCTCTACTTTAAAAAAAAATTATTTAGTTTTTTTGACGCCAATATTCGAAAACATTAAGGAGGCTTGGCAGCAAAGAAATCATCCAAATTTATTTTTCCTGACCTATGAAGAAATGTCTACGGTGACTATAATATCCTACTTATATTATAAACGCGAAAGTTTGTTAGTATGGATGGATGTTTGTTACTCTTTCACGTAAAAACTACTGAATGGATTTTAATGAAACTTTACAATAATATAGCTTAAACATCAGAATAACACATAGGATATAAAGATTATATAATTTATAAAGATATTGTGTAAATTGTCCAAAATATCAAGTAAATAGGAAAAAATCTACCATGCGAGCTATTCGGGCGTATTATATGTAATGTATGTTGGAAATGATTATCTTAAATATTCAATATCTTTAGTAGTTTTTTTCTACGCCACGCTAATATAAGCTACTCGAAATACTTATCCTGCGCAGACGAAGTCGCTGGCACCAGCTAGTATTTCAATAAAAATACTTTTAAAAATTGTCTCTTTGACTTTCGAATTTTTGAGTTTATTTGTTTGTACGCACTCATTTTAAAAAAAGATAGTCCATTTATCGAATAAAACTTATAAGCTATATAACAATGGAAGAAAGCATTTCTTATTTAGAGCTTCCGTTTCGGAAGTTGTGTAAACGGTTACGATACGACCGGATCTTTAACGTAGATGAAACTGGGGGGAAAACTACTCTAGTATGACCAAATCAATTTTCATCTAAGATGTACAGATACCGGCAAACATATTCAACAAATGTTCTTGCCTGCGCAGAAGCGATTTTTAGGTATCACTGGCGGGAGAGTGAAGTGTCGATTGCGTGATTGGTAAATCAGTTGACGTTTGTGTCCCGCGCTGCGCAAACTTTCGCCCACTCCCTTGTTTAATGCTCAAGAAGTTTGCCGGTATCTGTATCAAACATTTGCGTTTCATTTAACAAAGGGCCTCAATTTAATATAATGGATTCACAGGTCTTGTTTCGTTTATATCCCAGTCGTGCTTCCTGGTTCTCATCGCTGCTTTGTCAACAATCAGTTCTTGCCTTTTACTACCTTTCTCCACGTCAAATCCACGATACTCTGTCTTATGTAATATATAATAAATATATTTTAACAGGACTTGCCAGCAACCCTTCGACGCCTCTTTAGTTTCTTAGGCAAGCAATACACAGACACCCAGATCCAGGGCTTATGTGACCATCTCAGTGTCGAGAAGTTCAAGAAGAATGATGCGGTCAACGGGGAGAAGCTGTATAATAATATACAGTCAAACCTGGATAAGCGAGAGTTCAAGGGACCACAATCTTATTCTCGCTTATAGAGGTTTCAAATAGGAATGCCTTCTCAACTGTAATCTTATTGTTTGTTGTAAATGTTATATGGGAGAAAATAAATTATTATTATTATTATTATTATTATTATTATTATTATTATTATTATTATTATTATTATTATTATTATTATTATTATTATTATTATTATTATTATTATTATTATTATTATAAACATATATTATGTACATATATATTTTATTTTATTTAGAACTTATTTACACTTAAAAAAATACGTCAATTTCGTTTGGGTTTCTGTTTTTATATTTTGAATGTTTTTCTCTAACTCATAAATTTCGTCGAATATTGATTTTGAGATTGTATTTTTATTGTTATAGTTCCTCCTAAATAATATAAATAAATAAAGCTCGACTGTCGCTTATAGAGGTATAGATAAGTAGCAGTCTCACTTACGGAGGCTCACGAGGGAAAAACTACTCTCTCTTACAGAGGTTTCTGTTTCTCGCTAATAGAGGTTTTGGGAGCTTAAAATGACGGGTCCCGGCTATTACTCTCACTTATACAGTTTTCTCACTTATCCAGTTGTCACTTACCCAGGTTTGACTGTACTCGGCATCATTAATGACGGAGAACAGTCGTTCGTCAGAAAAGGTACTCAAGTTGCGTTACCACTCCATAGTGATGCATTTTGCTGTTTCACCAAAAATTTTAATATATGTGTGTAAAATTTAAGATTACACTTGCCTAGTACTGATTTTAATAATATCTTCCCTACGATTTCTTCAACTTGGCGACCCCTGCTACAGTTTCGCTATCTCAGGAATATTGCCGTATTACTCTTAAGTCTAAAAAAAATATTAAATTCAACAATTTAATAAGTGTGACTGCCTTTGTCTTTGCGGCAGTCAGAAGAACAGGAGTTCTTTATTCTCATTCCATTTGGCTTTTTAAAGCGACATAAATAAAGGGAATAAACAGAAAGTGTTAAAATATATATTTTGTATGCCATTCCGTGCTTTCCTAATTTATTTCAGCCAGCCTTGTAAGTTTACGCTTTGTTTAGGGTTGTGACACCAATATATCATTATGATAATTTTCAGGTAAGGTGAGAGGTTGGTAGGACTGTTTCAATGAAGATTTAAAAGTAAAGGCTAACCTTTGGATGTCTGAGAACCTCATTGATTTACCCTTTAGTGTCTAGATAACGTATCTACGTGGTAATTAATAAAACAGTTTCCGCACAGAATTTGTTTTGTTTTAGTAACCAAGTGCAATCATATTTATGGCTCCTAGATTTCTGCGCCCTTTCTAATTTCTTTTGTTTTTGGGTAAAATAAGTATAACATGTCTCATGAACATATAGTCATAAAACACACGTCACGAAAAAGTAATATTTATTAGAATTCGACATTATCTTATCTGGTATTAGATTTATTTGATGAAATTGACCAGTAGTGGACCAGTAATATACAATAATAAAAAAAGGGTTTATTTATAACTGATAAACTAAAAAGGAAATCAACAGATTTATTTAGATCCATATAAATGTCGCAATGTTTGCAAAAGTCTAAAACAAATGGCATTTTTATCTTCTTCTTCTTCTTATAGTGCCATCTCCTTGCGAAGGTTGGCGATCATCTTGGCTATTTTAATTTTAGATGCCGCGCTTCTAAACAATGACCAAACCACTGTCTCAAGTTTCTCAACCAGGACGTGCGTCTGCGGCCAGGTCTCGTTCTACTTGCCACTTTGCCTTGTGTGATTAGTTGAAGGAGCTCATATTTTTTGGAGTTACGTAAAACGTGTCCGAAATACTCAAGTTTCCTTTTCTTAACCGTCATAAGCACTTCTTTGTTCTTCTGCATTCTGTCCAGCACGGTTGTATTTCGTATGCGGTCTGTCCAAGATATTTTAAGCATACGTCGATAAACCCAGATTTTAAACGCTTCCAGTTTTTTGGACATAGTCTCTGTCAGCGTCCAAGATTCTACGCAGAGCTCCCTCATTCTTAACTCACTTTTCGAACTCACACACATTTGCATCGACGTCGCTCTCAAATCAGTCTGAAGCAGTCATTTTATGATTTGGCATTCTGAAAAGGTGGGAGCTTGTAGTTTATTGATTATTAGAATGCCAAATCATAAAATGACTGCTTCACGACTGATTTGAGAGCGACCGCCGATGCGAAAACCGCTGTGTGAGTTCGAATAGTGAGTTACAGAATCGCAGGGCAGCACAGAGAAGACGTAACATCGCGCAATGCGAGTTCTAAGCTGTAAATTTAGGCGCTTATCACAAAGTTTTTTTAGTTTTGAAAAGGCGTTCCGAGCTTGTTCAATTCTGCAGCGGATTTCGATGCTATGGTCACCCTTTTCATCAATCACTGTGCCTAGATATCGTATTTTCGAGACACGTTCCAAGGTCTGATTGACCGATTTCAATCAAATTTGCACACCGTGTGCAGTTTGATCTAACTTAAAAGATAGGATAGCTTACATACATATAATTCTACTGTACGTGTGTATGTAACTGAACTTCTTTTAAACGGCTGGACCGATTTGAATGATTTTTTTGTATGCGTACGGGTGGAGGCCTGGATGGTTTAGATTCACAAATCAGTCCGGCAGATGGCGCTGCGATCGGTACTTTTATACTTTATTAAATATCCTAATCGCTTGAAATATCATGCAGGACAACGTCTGTCGGGTCCGCTAGTTGTATATAAAAATTTGCCGGCCCTTTTCCATCCATATGATTTATTTATTTATTTCGTATTTTTACAGTAACTTACTACTAATAAAAAAGAAAATATATTTGTTGCGACATTGCGCAATGTAACATCAGCCATTTTTGTTAATAATTGTAAGGTGGGGCGACGCCATACTCTCTTTGTACTCGACTAGCGAAAGGTCATATTAAACAAGTTTGTACAAAAGTCTTAAAAGTTTCATTTACCGGCCCAGTCATTCCCTAAAGAATGAACATGGTGGCCCAGAGGGGATCAAAGAAGAAATAGAAGATTAATCAAGAAATAATCAATCGAGCAGTAGTACAGCTAAAGTGCCACATCGAGAGATTTAACCAAAAGTTAAGTGTTCCTTGTCCTTTTCTTTTTGTGTTCCAAACTGTGTCCTTAATTCAATTAATTGTGCAAATAAGTATTTTATTGATAATCCTTTTTTAAAGTAGTGAGATTAAGTAATTGGTTAAAAATTTAATTTTTCATAGCACGTAGGTACCTACATCTACGGACGGACCTACATTTAGGAAAAAATTAGTGATTATTTTATTGTTGTTTCATCTTTTGATTTCGTTATGTAACATTTAATTAGATACCAAAGACACGGAGATATACAATATTATTTTTATATTTTATTTATATATGTATATATTTTTTTGTATTTCGTCTTAGACTTCGTAAACACTAATAAGGTATCTAATTGCTCTCTAGCTAATTCCGTGTTTAGGTAGTTAGATTCAAGCGCATTTGCCGATTTTTTCAGATTTTTTTTGTCGCGTCGACGCGGCAGTTGCATTGCACCGGCCGGGAGCCGTGAGTAAGCAACTAAAGCATTGCGTGGCAGGTACCACTGAAACGAGGAACGTGAGCCAATTTTGTTTAATTTAAACATTTTAAGTGTTTGTTATTATTTTGATTCTAGTTTATCATGTCTATAGAAACAAAGTTAAGATTAAAAGAATTAATTATAAAAAGGTCGTCTGCTAAGGGACAGATAACAAAATTTAAAAAATTATTTAACTGGTATAAATGATAAGCTGGAATTAAATAATTAGAGTTTACCGAGTTAAAATTAAAATTAGCTAAATTTGAAGCTTGTCGTTAGGTTGACGATTTGCAAGGTGAAATAGAAGTTTTAAGTCCTGAAAACATTTCAACCGAAATTGATGAGCGTGAAATATCGAACAGGATATTATAATAAGCATTGCAACCGCCAAAACTTTAGTTGAAAGGTTTTCAAAGGTATTTGAGTGTGAGCATAAGCGAAATTCAATGCACAACGTTTCATGTTGCGTTGATGAATCTAATTCTTGTACTGACCTGGGATTAAAATTGCCACAGATACAAATTAATAAATTTGACGGTGCATATTTCCGTTGGCTAGAATTTAAAGACACATTTGAGAATTTAATTCACAATAATGACCGTTACCACCAATTAATAAATTTCATTACTTAATTTCTTATTTACAAGGTGACGCGGCTAGGGTTATTTCTAACTTCGAGGTGTCTGCTAACAATTATGTCAGCGCATGGGATTTATTGTGTAGCCGCTATAATAATAAAGTATTCTTATTAATCATCACTTAAATTCAATATTTAATATTAAGCAGCTTCCTCGAGAATCAGAGCGTGCTTTGCGATTTCTGGTAGATCAAGTAACAAAGGATTTGCGTGCCTTGGCAAGTTAGGGCAACCTACGCATACATGGGATACATTAATAGTGTTTATGTTATCTTCAAAATTGGAAACAAACTTTATTGAAATGGGAAGAGGTTCGCAGTAGCTGATGGTGATGTACCCAATCTGGAACAATTTTATAAATTTTTAATGATCGTGCTGATATATTAGAATCTTTAAATCGAAATAACAAGTCAGATATCAATGTTTCTAAACCTCATGTTCAAGTGCGTTCTACCTTATTAATTTAACTAGTTCAATTTCTAAAACAAGGACAGGGAAGAAATCAAATAAAAAATTTCTAAGTTATAAAAATAATAAAATAAACAATTAAATACAAAATTTTCATGTATAATTTGTGATAAGAATCATAAAATATATGATTGTCCTACCTTCAAGGACAAAGGTTTAGATGAGCGAATGCAAGACGTAGTGAAATATAAACTGCCAGATTTGTCTAAGGCAAGGTCATTCCGTAAATGATTGTCTATGGGACCTTGTCCGTGGCTAGATGTCGGAAAACCAACAGTTGCTGCATTGCTCATCACCCTCTACATTAGCTCTAATTCAGAGACAGCGATCAAACAAATATTTTTGTGAATTATGCTAA